CCTCCTTTGTTTACCCTTCACCTCCCTTCCCAGCCTCCCCCCTCCCCCCACAATCCCAATCCTTCTCCTTCCCCCCCCCCCCCACGCACCCCCCTTCCCCCCCCCTCCCGCACCGATGTTGTAAAGCTCGTTTTGGACATGACAACTTGTACTTCTCATTGTTGCAACAGGTCCACCTGTATCCTTAAACAACTGGTTTTTCCTCATCTCCTCCACAAGTTATACTGACATCAAATATAGTGAAAGCAGGGGTTATACTGTGGGGAGGGACATACAAAGCAACAAAGAGATAATCTTATAAATGCGTTAGAAACACATGCATGAAAGAAAAAAACCTTAAAATACATATCTAAGGGTTCATTTTCCGACATCACATTATCTGACCTTTTACCATAGCTAAGATATGGAACCAACCCAGATGTCCCTCAGTAGATGAATGGATCAAAAAAATGTGGTATATATACACAATGGAATTCTATGCCTCCATCAGAAAGAATGACATTGCCCCATTTGTTAGGAAATGGAAAAACTTGGAAAAAATTATATTAAGTGAAGTAAGCCAGGCCCAAAGAAACATAGGTCCCATGGTTTCCCTTATTTGCAATATCTAGTATATGTATGAGTCAAACGGAAAAGAAATGTGTTTATCCCTTACAGATGGACAGACTTGTCAGTGGGAGGCAGTATTAGGTGTGACAGGCACAAGATGGTCAGGAATGCAGAATGACTTATTAGTTTCCTAGATGGCCGTAATAAAGTCATAAATATTATTTGGGTTGTTTAAACAAGCAGACATTTATGCTTTCACAATTCTGGAGGCTTAGTTTCCCAAATCTAGGTTTGAGCAGGGCTCTGCTCCCTCAGAAGCCAGAGGGTGCAGTGAAGGGTGGGGGTGGTAAGAGCATTGCTTTAGTGCCTAAGGCTTTGCCAAGCCCAAGCATCCTCAATGGTGGTAGTTCCATCACTCAATCTCTGTCTGTACTTTACAGTGTTTCTGTCTCCTCTTCTTGCAAAGACACCAGTCATGGATTAGGATCCACTCTAATGATCTAATTTTAACTTAATCCCATCTATAAAGACCCTATTTCTGAATAAGGTTATCATCACAGATACAGGTAGGACTTCAAAATATCCCCAAAGGATTGCTATTAAACTTTGGCTCATGATAGTTGAAGGTTAATAAAAGCTATTTTACATGCATGACCTTAATGTAAGACTTTAATTCAGTGGACTTTGAAACACCTTACAATCTGTTCAATTACCAAAAATAATGAAGGGGTCCTTGACTAAGAAAATAAAATTCAATCTGAGTGCCAGTGGCTCGTGCCTGTAATCCTAGCTACCAAAGAGGCTGAGACCTGGTGGATGGGGGTTTGAAGCCAGCCCTGGCAGAAAACCCACCTCCAATTAACCAGAAAATGCCAGATGAGGACTGAGTTGTGGCTTAAGTGATAAGAGTGCCAGTCAAGCAAGCAAGGCCAGAAAAAGGGCTCGACTCTGAGTTCAGTGACCAAATCAGGAAAACAAGTTTAGGCACAAGACCCATTGTGATGGATCTTAGGTCCAGAAGACACCAGGGAGGAAAGAACTATGTATAAGGTAGGGTTACTCTCTTAGGGTGCTCCTGAGTCAGGTGCTCCCTCGACTCCAGTTGCTTTCCCTTTCATTTTCTCATGATATAGAGATGCAGCCTCAAAACCTTAGAAAGCAGGCATCAAGGGGGAAAAATGATAAAGGAGTAGAAAAAAGTCTTGGTGAAGAAATTAACAGGCGTTTGCAGGTATGTAACCAGGCAGAAGTAGGAGTTAAAATTTAAGCTGTTTCTTTCAGTATTTCCTGGTCTTGTTAGGTCTTTTCAGTGTGAAACGCACAATATTCTAGACACCAGTATAATGCTCTAATATCAAATCAGGTTTCCCTTTGGTCATTATGTAGTGAGAGAAGAAAGGCAACAGCAATTACATAAACAACTTAATTTACAAAGAAAATAGAGTGAAGCAAGTGAGAAAAAATTGGAATATTAGTGAGTGGTATGATAGCTGGAGGGAGGAGATATGGCTGTGGAAAATCTCCTGCTAGGAAATATGTACCATCATCAAAGACAGCTCATCTTCTTCTAACCTATGGGTTCTACGTAATATCTCAAGTTGTGATGAGTCATACACAGTCTTGCCTGCTGCTATCTCCCAAAATCTGTAGATCAATTGGCTTTTTATGAGACAGATTTCCTTCTTGTAGATTAGGGGTTTTTTCCCCCCCCTCATCATTGTATTATGATTTATTCCAGTTTATTTCAGTCTTAAGTGCTCTGATGCTAATATATTTAGCTTATGTAAAAAGGGAGTTTTTTTTTTTTTTTTTTTTTTGTCGGTTGTGGGGCTTGAACTCTGAGCCTGGACTCTGTCCCTGTGCTCTTCAGCTCAAGGTGAGCGCTCTACCTCTTGAGCCACAGCACCACTCCCGGTTTTCTAGTGGTTTATTGGAGATCAGAGTCTCTTTTCTGCCCAGGCTGGCTTTGAACCTTGATCTTCAGATCTCAGCCTCCTGAGTAGCTAGGATTACAGGTGTGAGCCACTGGCGCCTGGCAAAAGGAGTGTTTTTAGGTATCAAGTACAGGGCTTTTCTGAGCTTTATAAGGAATAGGAAACTGAACAACTATGGCGACTCATAGTGTGAGCTATTTTTCTCTGCAACTCATGCACAATAATCAAGATGACCTCATCTCACAATAGCAGATAACTTTAGTGGGTAAGTAACCTAATTCAAGAGAATAACAGTCTGATCGAATTTGTTCTTACATAGTTTGATATAAAGTTGAAGTTGGAAAATATCCAGTTCAGGCCAGAATGAACTACACAGAGAAACGCTTTCACAAAAGAAAGAAAGAATAATGATAGAAAGAAAAGAAAGAGAGAAAGAAAGAGAGAAAGGGAGGGAGGAAGGAAGACAGGAATAGAAAAACTTTAAGAAGCTTGAAGCCAAGACATGATCTCACACTTAACTGAGTCTTATGGCTGGTATGGGTTTGGGGTGTGGCAGTCAACTGTCTCTGTTAGGCTTCACTATTGTGGAAGGACAGAATCTTGCCACCTGACTGTATACATAGCACTACAGTTTAGAACTAGTTATTAATTTTTATTATCTCTGAGCCTCACTATATAGTTTTGGGTGTGAATGTATTACCATCTAGTTAGCATTTGTTTCTCTTATTTCCCAAATGTCATAAAGGATGTGGTCAAATTCCTTAGACTTCTCCTTTATCATTATCAAAGAATAAGGGTAAACATCCTGGGAAGGAAATGACTAGCTATGCCACTACCAAGAATCACATAAAGAACTCCAAAGGTACAGGTGCAGGGTAAAAAAGCTCCACATTCAGGGGTGGCATTGGTTTAAATTCATAATTTAGTGGAAAGAGAAACTTGAAAGAATCTAAGTACTGGACTTTTATCTCTCTGTGTGGGTAGAGGGCTTACCAAGTCTATAAGCTTACTGCTACTACATATTTTCCTTGTCTATCTTGTCTTGTTTTGGTGAAACCATGAGCTACGAGATGATCTGAATCATAACACACTTATGTGCAGTGAAGTAGGGAGCTCTCACTGCATTTCTTCAGCCATGCGAACGATGAACACTAGTAACGAACACAGACCTGTACAGTCTGTTTCTCGGGCCATTTTGGCCTGGCCACTTAACCACTGCCTCCTCTCCCTCTCTTACAGCCGCGGTGACATTTTTCCTGGTACTTGAACTTGTGGATCAGGTTCTCTTCTCCAGTCTTTGGTCTTGGCTAGTTCCCCTGCCCGAAAACTCTTCCCAGATGGCCACAGGGTTCGCTCACTTCAGTCCTTCACACCTGTGCTGTTGCTGTTGTTGCTATTATGGCACACTCTGTGGCTTCTGCGGGCTCAGATGCTCCTGGAGGGGAGGAGCACGCACACCAGGCCAGCCGGGCACCCGGCAGGGGCATCGCCAGGCCTCTGAGCAAACGAAGGCGGCTGTGGAGGATGGTGATGCTGCTTTTCTCCTCGATCCTCCTTCCTCCCTTCCCACGCTGGCGTCGGGCGCTCGGAGGGCAGCCAGACCCACGAGCGCGGCCGGGGCAGCGCCGCCCCCCCCGCCCCCGGGCTGCTGCTTCCCCCACCCCGGGCCCGTCTCACGGAAGCAGAAAGGGCAGAAGGTGCGGGGCAGCCGGGAAAGTCGTCTCGGCGCGGAGCAGGCCGCCCGCGGCTGGGCCTGCCCGGCCCGGCTGACTCCTCAGCCCGCCTTCCAGGGCGCGCACGCGCACACACGCACCATCGGGAGGAGTCCCTGCGGCGCCCCAAAGTGAAGCGAGCCCCGGCCACCCCCGTAGATCTCCTCGCCGGACTCTCTCGGGGAAGGAGAACGGAGCTGCCGCGGGAATCTTCGCGCATCCCCTCCCCCCCCCCCCCCCCCCCCGCCGCCCACGACCGCGAGTCTACACGGCACGCGCCTGCGCACTCCAACACCTTCGCACCCCTCCGTGGAGGGGGCGGGGCCGCGCATGCGCAACCCGGAGCAGGGGGCGTCCGGTTCCCGCCCTCCCGGTTCCCCGCCCTGCTCTCCCGCGGCGTCAGTCCGCTGAGGAGACCAGGCGGAGGGAGGAGACGACGGCGGTGACGGGCTTCCCACAGTGGGAGGGGTGTGGACTTGCAGGAAGAAGGGAGGAAGGGGAGCAGAAAGGGGGCAGCAGCGGCCGCGGCGCTGACAGGCTGGGCGGCCGCCCGGCTTTCCCGGGACCTCGCGCCGCCGCGTCGCCCTCAGCCCCGTCGGAGCCCCGGGCTGTGGAGGCTCCGGTCCGGGCGGACGGCCGCCGCCGCCGCCGGGGCGCCCCGACAGGCCGGGTCCTCGCCGCCGTGGGATGTGACGGGGAGCCGAGCCCGCGCGGGATCCCCCACGGCTCCGCCGGCGCAGCCCGGCCGGCGCTCGGGCCGGCTGTCGGGTCCCGGGGTTTCCGCAGACCTCAGCTCGCGGGGGGGGGGGGGGGGGGGGCGTCGTGGAGGAGGCGGCGGCGGCGGCCCTGCGGGCTGTGCCCCTGGTGGGTGTTGTGGCCTCGGGTGGATGGGCTGGGGGGCAGTCTCGAACCCCTTCTTCCCCACCCCCCCCCCCCCCGAGAATGGCAGTGAACTTCCAGCCGGAACAACCCTCCCCTTTCAGACCGAATCTGGAGCTCGGGGTCGCGCTGTGGCCGTGGGCTGTTTGCATCCATGTGCGCTTTGTGACCCCCATCCCCACCCCCTTTACTTACCCCGCTTTAAACATTTTCTAGTTAGTTGAACAGCCCTGGGGGGTGGGGGAGCGGGAAACCATCTATATTCTAGCCTCCCCCCGCCCCCCCCCCCCCGGGATTTCTACGGTAGTAACTGTGGCTTCTGTTTTCAGGTTCCCGAAGCAGGGAACGGGAAGATGTGAACTGTTACTCTTCTGCAGAAATTGAAAAAAAAAAAAAAGGCGGGGGAGGAGCCCTTCCTTCCCCTCCTGCCACGGTGGGTGTGCGATCGGGGGTGGGGTGCGATCGGGGGTGGGGTGCGATGGGGGTGGGGTGCGATCGGGGGTGGGGTGCGATCGGGGGTGGGGTGCGATCGGGGGTGGGGTGCGATCAGGGGTGGGGTGCGATCGGGGCTGGGGTGCGCTTGGGGCTGCTGTCTTTTTTTTTGCCGCAATGAAGGCGAAGGTGTCAGGGTGCCGGGGGGAACTGGGGGTGCATGCGTAGGAAGGGTGGATGCACGTGAAGACAAGCAGAGCTCATTGTTGATCACTCTGAAAACGGCAGGGCTTGAACTTTTCGTGTGGGTCTGTGAGAATAATTTTAGGCTATCATGGTTGCTCTTGGATCTTTGTAAGTAGCATCGCTTTTTTTTTTTTTTTAAACAACGTGGCTTTGTAGAGAATAGTAAAATGTTCGTTAAGTCTTTCCCCTAGTAGCCGGAGATTTATCTATCAAACACATATTTTCAAGTAAGAAGGAATACTTATTGAAAGAACGCGTTAGCTAGTGCTTCTCTCCCTCTCCCGGTGGTGGGGGGGGGGCGGGGAGAGGGGGCGTTCTTCTATTACATTGAATGCTTCCTGGATGGTTTTATCTGCCTAAGCTTGCTATGTCGGTTGAATGTACCCAGTCTGCTGCTTTCCGGTGGTTATTAATCTGTCAGGGGAAATTCCTTTTCTCTGAATGAAAGAATAGGAGTGCTCAGTATGTCATACAAGGGAGTAGAAATGTGTAGAAGGAAAACAGAAGTGGGAATAAGGGATGATTGCTTTTGGTTTCATAATAGGTTTGTAGAAGTGATTGTTGGGCTACTGCAAATATTCTGATACATCTAGCAGATCTGAAAACTAATAATCAGTTTTGGGCTTGTATTTCTCTGTGTGTCTTGCCTAAACACTTCAAGTGTGAGAATCACTTGCTTGTATGTGAACTTACCTGTTGGAATTACCTGCAGTCTGTGTGTGTCCAGCATGTGCTGGACACACCTGTACCTGTACTGGAAAGCTGCAGTACTTGCTAATCAGATAAGCACATATGCTTATTTTTGCTCTAATTGAATGCCTTGAAGTTTAAAGCATATTTTAGGGTCTGGTTAAGGAATAGCTCATTACTTTTAGTGCCTTTTTTTTTTTTAGTAATTGAGACAAATTTCTCAGTTAAGAGACGAAAATATGTTATCTTTTCTCTACTTAGCTATTGCTGAAAGACGGGATGCTTTTAAGGCAAGATGGGAAAGGAAATTGGCTTTGAAGTCTGATTTGGGTTTGAATGATGGGTCTTCCTGACACTTAACAGTTGTATTGCTTACTACTTTCTTTCTTATAAGATTATTTGTAAGAATTGAATAGGATGCGTGCATAACTGTAAGTTAAAAACAAATTCCTTAGAATCAAATTGAATACCACTACACTGCCATTTCCTGATACACTCTAATTGTTACACAGTAAATAGTTGCTTTTGATCAGTGCAGTCTCTGAAAACATAGCTTTACAAAGATATGACATTGGAGAAAGGGATGTAAGTGTCTAATTTTGCAAGTCTGAAGTGAAGTCTTGTCTACTGTCATAGCTAGATATCTCAAGGAAATTTATAGAAAAGCAGGATGACTGTGCATAAATTGATTTGCCAGTGCCTCCTGTTTCTTCCTCTTTTGTAGAGAAAAAGGACTTTAGGTCTTGATCTGGCTAAAGGGTCTTGATAGGCAGCTAAGGGGTCTTACCAGGCATCAAAATGATTTCTCTTTGAGCCCCATTGTGCTGCCCCCATCTGCTCTTGTGCTGCCCTCTTGTGGATATTTTTGCAAAGAACTTTCTTTTGCTCCTCTTCTATACAGTTTTTTTTTTTTCTTTTTTCCTTTCTTGTGTGGCACCAGTATGAGCTCAGGCTTGAACCTGAAGTTTGAAGTGGTTTACTGTGTTAATGTTAGATATCTACCTTTCTTTCTACAATGTCATGTCTTTGTAAAAGCTGAGTTTTTAGAGATTGCTCTGCTAAATAGCGATCCCTTACTACTGAAAAATCAGCGTGGACTAGGACATAACAAATGTGGTAGTGTCCTGCTTGATTTCAAGATTTGAGATGTGTAGTGCCCAAACAGACACTAAATTGTAAGGCTATTAATACTTAAGTTGCTTGATCCCACTTACGTAAGTAATTCTCTTGGCCTAGGTTGCCGGGAAAAAAAAAGAAAAAAACAAAAACCAAAAAACCAAGATTGAGACTCAAAGAGCTCCCTTAATAGAGATGATGTGGAAACTCTGCTTTAGCTTTCTTGATAAAATTACTGGTGCAGTAATGGCTTACTGTATTTTGTGTCCTATTTGTACCTTTATAACTTTTGTTCAGTGATTTCACATCATAAATCTAATGGTATTGCCTACTTGCACATCCTGTTGCTTATATCACATATTAAGTGATCTTTGCCAGAAGGGGTCTTTTGCCACTTTTTATGGTTTGTGGTCCTTAAGTCCAAGATTCCCCAATTAAAAACGATCATTTTATACACCTTGAATTTCTCTCAAAGGCTCATGTTTGGTCACTAACCTTGGCACTATTGGGAGTCAGAGTTTAGTAGAGGGAAGTTAGGATCAGCAGGGGCATGGCGTAGGAGACATTGGATTGCTGGCTCCTCTTCTCTTTTTGCTTCTCGATTTCCTGAGACAGACCAAATCTGCTAGGCATTCCTCCCATAACGTACTGTACTACCACAGGCCTAATGTAAGAAAGCCAAACAACCATCCACCAAAACCTCTGATACTAGGAGACAAAATAAAACTCTCCTATTAAGTTGACAGTGTTGAATGTTTAATCACAGTAACTAAATGCTGCCTAACACAGCTCCTTAATATTCTTCTGTCCTGGTCATGGAAGCTTTAAATTCGGCATCATTTGTAAATTACATTTTTCATTTACTTGTTAACCCATCCAACATTTCTCTCTTTGTCTCTTACATCTCTGCTTTCTAGATCTTTTTATCACTTGAATCCCAAGACTTGTCTCTTGAGCCTAGAATTTTGAAAATCAGATCAGTTGCTCAGAATCTAGCATTACTCCCTTCCATTTATACTAAATAGAGCTACCACTGTAATGTTCCTTATTGGGGTATTTTCGTAGCCTCATATCTTTAGTGGCTTACTGCTTTTCACTGTAAGCAACAGTAAAAAGTTTTGAGCTGGGAAACAGCTTTCTAAAACAAATATTTTAGAGAAATTAAAGTGATACCTGTGCTTGATATAGTTTGAAGTAACAAGTGAAATGATAAAGGAAGGAAAATAAAATGGCACTAAAATGATGAGAAATTACTTTGAGGAAATAAGTCAGACTGGAAAGATGTCACAAGACTTCATTCTGGACTAGATAAGAAGGAAGGATGACGTGGGGGGGGGGGGAGAAGGCCATTTAAGATGACTTTGATGTTTTAGCTTATGACTGGCACTTGAGCCACATTAGCAGTTTTTTTTTTATTAGTTGGAGATAAGTGTTTCATGGATTTGTCTGTTTGGGCTGGCATCGAAGCATTACTCTCAGATCTCGGCCTCCCTCTAGCTAGGATTGTAGGTGTAAGCTGCTGGTGTGTAGACTCACTTTGTATTAAGCACTCACAGAACCTCCTTCAGCTGTGTTAGACTTCCATTACATCTCCTCGGGCCCCTTGTGAAGACAAACTTCAGGTAGATTCTTGGATCTGTACCTGGCTACACCAGAAGTATTCTCTAATCCATTGTTTCTTACTAGAATTACCTACAAGGCTTTTTAATACATAAATTACTGGACTTCACTTTGATAGTTTCTGTTTCAGTACTTCTGAAATGAGCATTTACAATTTCTCAAGTGATTCTGCTGGTGTTGATCTGGAGATCAGACCATGAGAAGCACTGATTTCAACTAGGGGTGGGAAATAAATATTTTCTAGTTAGAAACAGATATATGTGGCACTAGGGTTTGAATCTAGGACCTCACAGTTGCTAAGGCAAGAGCTCTATCACTTGATCATATCTCCAAACCCTTTTTGCTAAGCTGGTACAAATTCCCAATTTATATCATTACTTGACTCTAAAGTCTCTTCAAGTTACTGCCCCATTTTTCAGTTCTCTCTCCACAGAAAAACTCTTTTTATTGGGTCGGGTCATGGGGCCTGAACTCTGGGCCTGGGCGCTGTCCCTCAGCTCTTCAGCTCAAGGCTAGCACTCTATCACTTGAGCCACAGCGCCACTTCTGGCTTTTTTTCTTTTTGCTTATGTGGTGCTGAGGAATCAAACCCAGGGCCTCAGGCATGCAAGGCAAGCGCTCTACCACTGAGCCACCTTCCCAGCCCCACAGAAAAACTCTTTAGAAGAGCTATTTGTATATGTTTTTCTTTATTTTCTCTTAAAATTTCTTAAGTTGGTAGCACTTTTAATGTAATTTAACATATATGTATATATGCATATATACATACATATATAATTATGTGTTAAATAGAAAAATAATTTCTGAGTTAACAAAAGTGGTGTGTGTTACTAATTTAAACATATACTTTCAAATTAACGTTGTATAAGTGCCAGTTTATATTTTTCTGTACTTCTACATTTATATTTCTCCAGGGTATTTCAGATGGCTTGATATTTGCCAATTCAAGGCTTGATTATTAATATCTCCTAATTTCAGTTTGCTTTTAATTCTACTTTATATGTCCTAGGAACGTGTTGTATCCATTTGTCTTTCTGTGTTTTTTTTTTTGCCTTTTTGCAAATAAAGTTGTGTTGTCATTGTCTAAATTGTTTTTCTCTTCTAGCTTGTGTTTTATTATTGTATGACATTTCTAAAACCTGTCTTTTAACAGTCATGATAATTCTCTCCTTGTCACTTTTGGAGCACTTAAATTATTTGATAGAAAAATTAACCATTAATCAAATGGAAATTATTTAAGAATTGAGAGGGACACCTCAGATTTAACCTATCAATTTCTTTGTAGAAGTGAGATTAGTTTGCCATATAATTAGCTTGTAATAATACTGGGTTAAGCTGAGTGCTGCTGGCTCATGCCTGTAATCTTAGCTACTTGAGTCTGAGGATTGGAGGATCTTGGTTTCAGGCAAGCCTGGGAGAAAAGTTCTCAAGACCCCTTCTCAAGCTATACCTAGGAGCTGTGGTATGCACATGTTATCCTAAGCTACACTGAGGCAGAGATTGGAAGGACCATAGTACTTAGCCAGCCTGGGTCCAGCAGACTGTCTCCTTTCAGGGAAACTGGACTTGATTGTACATACCTACCATTTTAGTGAAGAGAAGTCTAAAAGTAGGTGGATTGAAGTTCTCCTTCCAAGGCAAGAAGTAAGACTCTATCTTCAAAGTAACTAGTGAAAAACAGAGATGGAGGCATGACTTACTGGTATTGTGCAAGCTTAAGGCCCTGAGTTCAAATTTCAGTATGACAAAAAAGGGTTAAAAGTAATTTTTAAGCTGGGAGCTGGTGAGATTAGTTTGCCATATAATTAGTTTGTAATAAGTGGGTTAAACTGAGCTACTCAGGGGCTAAGATCTAGAGGTCTATTGTTTGAAGCCTGAGGAAAAGTTCATGGGACTTCATCTCCAAATAACCAACAAAAAGCCAGTCTAGAGGCATGGTTCAGGCTTTAGACTCTGAGTTCCAACCCAAATATTGGCAAAAAAGGAAAGCTAATTTTAACTTTCTTGGTTCCCAATTTAGCTTTTACTAATCTATTACATTATTTCCTCACGAGTATTTATTAATCTGAAAAGCTGTGTCTCAGAATTTTAATATAGATGAGTAAATAATAAGACTAAGGTATATGAGTATATGATGATATTAACATTAGAATTTTATGTTTGAGCTTCTGTTTTTTTCAGTGTGTGCATAAGTTGATTAAAATTTATAATAATGTTTATTTAACCATTTATTCAACAACTTCCTGTGTTAGGCACCTTTACAGGCACTAATAATACAGTAATGAGTATAACTTAAGTAACTTCAGTAAACTTTCACTAGTGATGCAAGAAAGTCAGTGAGCAAAAGAATAATTTATCCTCTGGTGGAAATAAAACCAGGACAGTGGCTGCTTGGGTGGTAAGATTAAGGATTGGTGAAGAAGCATGAGAGAACTTTTGAGATCATGATGATTTCTATAGGGCTTAGACTAGCCAGGTATATGTTCATTTTCCAGATTTATTGAGAATATTTGTGCATATTGCTGTAATAGGGAAAGTAGAGTAGATATAATTTATGTTATAAAAAATAATAAGTTAATGCCCATGAAACTACCATCCATCCCAAGGACTAGTACATTAGTGGTAATTTTCACCTATATAAATGTTTCTCTGTAATTATTCCCCTGCCCAGCTCATTTTGTGTATTAGGTTTAACACCTTGGTCTTTCATTTTGGTTTGTTTAATCACATTTGAATTCCTTAGTGTACTATTCAGGTTTTCTTGTTTGGAGATTTACAAAAATGATTATTTTACTTCTATAAAGAAATTGATCTGGGTGCTAGTGGCTCACACTTGTAATCTGCTACTCAGTAGGCTGAGATCTGAGGATTGCAGTTCAAAGCTAGCCCAGGCAGGAAAGTCTGTGAGACTCTTATCTCCAGTTAACCACTAATAAGCCAGAAGTAGAGCTCTGCCTCAAGTGGCAGTAGAGCCAGAGTGCTAGCTTGAACAAAAAAGCTCAGAGACAGTGCCCAGCCCCTGAATTCAAGCCCAAGGACTGGCAAAGAAAGAAAGAAAGGAAGGGAGAAAGAGAAAGAGAGAAAGAGAAAGAAAGGAAGGAAAGAAGAAAAGGAAGGAGGGAGGGAGAGAAAGAGAAAGATGGAGAGAGGAAGAGAAAGAGGGAGAGGAAGAGGGAGAGAAAGAAAAGAAAGAAGGGAGGGAGAAAGAAGGAAGAAAGAAATTAAATGTGATAAATTAAATCTGATGTGTTCCTTTCAATTCTTAAATGATTTCCATTCAGTTAGTGCATAACCTAAGTACCAAATAACTAAAGTGTTGTAAAAGTGACAAGTGAATAATCATGATTATTAAAAATATAGTTTAAAAAATTCAAAATTCAAAATTAAAACAAGCTAGAATTAAAAGAAAAACAATTTTGGTATTATGGGAAGAAAAGCATGAAATTCATGGAAAGAAGAATGCACATAGCATGTTATAGTCTACAACTTCCTATTTTTATGATGTAATTCCTAAGATTTATCTATGTTAACATAAAATCATAGTTTATTTTAACTGAAAGGAACATGTTCTATAATGTGAAGGTATTGAAGTCTGATACTTTGAGCAGTTTATAGGTTTTTTACTCCTTCCCCCTTTGGAAACTGGTACAATCACCTGTGTGTCTTTTGTATCCACACACATAAATTTTTATAGAATTTCTACTTAGGAGTAGAATAGCAGCAATTCTTACAGTATGGGCTCTGGCTGATGCCAGGAAAGTCTTCAAAACTCATTCTTTTTGCTACCTTTGGGCTTAGTTTGTTCTTTTTCTAGTTCCTTGAGGTATAATATTAGGCCATTTGAGATCTTTTTAATATTGCTGTTGCTTCCATGTTAGAACTGTTTTTGCCATATTTAACTGACCTGTAATTATGCTGTATTCAACTGCTCTATAATTAATAAAGTATAATAGATTATAAGAAATAAAAATCCATGCCTATCTTGGGGCTTGAACTCAGGGCCTACACATTGTCCCTGAGCTTTAAAGGCTAGTGCTCTACCACTTGAGCCAGAGCTTTACTTCCTTCTTTTTTGGGGGGAGGGGAAGGGTAGCTAATTGGAGATAAGAGTCTCATTGACTTTCTTGCCAGTGCTGGCTTTGAACACAGTCCTCTGAGCTCAGCTTCCTGAATAGCTAGGATTACAGGCATGAGCCACCAGAACCTAACAAATATTTTTTTTTTTTTTTTTTTTGTCGGTCGTGGGGCTTGAACTCTGGGCCTGGGCGCTATCCCTCAGCTCTTCAGCTCAAGGTGAGCGCTCTACCACTTGAGCTACAGCGCCACTTCCGGTCTTCTGGTGGTTTATTGGAGATAGGAGTCTCACGGTCTCTCTTGCCCGGGCTGGCTTTGAACCGCGATCCTCAGATCTCAGCCTCCTGAGTAGCTAGGATTACAGGCGTGAGCCACCAGCGCCCAGCTCTAACAAATATTTTTGCAATTATCTTTGAATAAATTTATTTTAATTTATTCAAAGATAATTGCAAAAATATTTGTTTAAAAATTTGCATACTCAGCTGCAAATGCACTTCAGAAATCTTGCAGTTTTGTCTATTCCAACAATTTCCAGTTGGCTTTTTTGTTTATTTTATTTTACTCACTGAAAGTTTCAAAAGGTACTATTTCATAACTGAGGATTGACACACTATTTTCTCTGGTAAGAGTAATGCCCATAAATTGCAAGTAGAACCCAGTGTCAGATTGTAATTCATTTACTCACAGGTATTTTTCTTCTTTTTTTTTTGTATTTGTAGTAGTTAGAGCAGTACTTGGCAAATAGTAAATGCCTTTATGAGTTTGTCTATCATTGTTACTGTCTTCTCTATTCTGTACAAAATTATATCTTCTGGGGGAGAGGTGTCATCAAATTATCATCTCTAGTCATGAACTCTTCCAAATTACAATCCCATGCTTCAGCGGAACTGATAATGCTTTTATCACTGCTTGTTAGTGTGTGTCTGTTAGTGTTACATATTGATATGAACAATTTCTCTGGCTGATAACTGGGGTTTTATGATTGTCCACTGGGCATTTATAATCTATCTTGCACAGTATTTTTGTGTGTGTAGTACACAATATTTATTCAGTTGATAGTGTTGATAGTCAATGCTATTGAGAAAACTTCTTTGCATAAAAGGGATATCTTATCAATATCACTTTGATTTGTAACCTTTCTGTTTTCTCTAATAGGCCAATGTTCTGAAAAAGATTCTGGATAAGAATGGCTTGCCTTACAATGACAGAAATGGAAGCAACCTCCACATCTCCTATACATCAGAATGGTGATATTCCTGGAAACACCGATTCTGTGAAGCAAATAGAGCCAGTCCTTCAGGTGTATCTTTATCATTCTCTTGGAAAAGCTGAGGGAGATTATCTGAAGTTTCCATCTGGAGAATATGTTGCAGAAGAAATTTGTGTTGCTGCTTCTAAAGCTTGTGGTAAGTGTCAAAAATCATCATTTTTCTTGTTAATATATCATTGCTTTAATTATGTTACTCTGTGTACATGTACAATGTGTTATGGATGACAGGTGTCTTTTCACATTCATAAAATTTGAGAAAGGCATGAAGAGTAGAATTTAAAGTGTCTCTTCCTCAGACGATATGTCAAAACAAGTTGAAGACTGTAAATATTTTTTGAGCACCCATTATAAGACCATATGAGGAAACTAAAGTATCCAGATGTGGGATATCTCATAAATTAATATTAAAACTACATTTTGAGTGCAGTATGAAAATAGAGTATCAATATCAATGATGTTGATATCAGTGTGTGAGAATATATATTTGGTTTAGATTCTTGATCATTCTATAGCTATGATTGACAAGTTTTTTAGCTTCAGAAAATTGATTGATCTTTTCATATACAATTTCCTTGTTTCTTTTGGACTTATTAAATACATTGTTGTTTATTTATTTATTTATTTGTCGGTCATGGAGCTTGGACTTGCAGCGTGGGCACCATCCCTGAGCTGTTTTTTTTCAAGGCTACTTCCACTTCGAGCCACAGTGCCACTTACATTGTTATTAATGAACCTAGGCACAGGTTTCCTGTATAATATCTGTTATTCAAGTCCTCTTTGTCTTTGTAGGTTATTTTTTTTGGGGGGGGTCCAATCGTGGGGCCTGAACTCTGGGCCTGGGTGCTGTCCCTCAGCTCTTCAGCTCAAGGCTAGCACTCTACCACTTGAACCACAGTGCCACTTCCGGCTTTTTTCTTTTTGCTTATGTGGTGCTGAGTAATCGAACCCAGGGCCTCATGCATGCAAGGCAAATGCTCTACCACTGAGCCACCTTCCCAGCCCTCTTTGTAGGTTCTTATTGTTGAGAATGGTATATTGAGTTCTTCAATTTACTATATTTGAATTGTCTATTTCTCCCTTTATTTCACGTTTTTGGTTTATAAACTTTTAGGTAAATTAGATATGTTTATAATTGTTGTATCTTCTTGCCATAATGATCATTGTGTCTACTTTTTATTTTATGGTATGTTTGGTTATGTTATATGGTATATATTGTATGTTTTTAATTGTTATGTCTTCTTGACCTATTTTATGGTACTAAGGTTTAAACACAGGGCCTTGCCCTTCCTTGGAAGGTGCTGTACTGTTCTTGTCATGCCCAAAATCCTTGGTTATGTTAGTTATTTTTTACATAGGGTATAGCTTTGTGCTGGGGACTAGACTTGGAACTGATCTTCATGTCTCTGCCTCTGCATAGCTAGGATCCACAATACCCAGCTTTTATTTCTTGAGATGGTATCTTGGTAATATTTTGCTTGGGCTGGTCTTGAACTTCAATTGTCTTGATCTTTGCTTCTTTTTTTGTTTTTTTTGGGGTCTGGTCGTGGGGCCTGAACTCTGGGCCTGGGCGCTGTCCCTCAGCTCTTCAGCTCAAGGCTAGCGCTCTACCACTTGAGCCACAGCTCCACTTCCAGCTTTTTTCTTTTTGCTTATGTGGTGCTGAGGAATTGAACCCAGGGCCTCATGCATGCAAGGCAAGCGCTCTACCGCTGAGCCACCTTCCCAGCCCCGATCTTTGTTTCTTGAAAGCTGGTATTACAGGGGTGTAACACCACAGCTAACCAAGTCTTGTTTTTTTTAGAACAATGTCCCACTATGTGTCATGGATATTGCTATATATCCTGGTCTGCTCTTGAACTTGTGGTTCTCCTGCCTCAGCCTCTTGAGTGCTGGGATTAGCGACGTGAACCACCACATCTGACTTCAGTTTATATACTACTTTTTAAAGTTTTTGTTGTTGAAGTTTTTACTCCACTTGTCCCTTTTAATAATTTTTTTTTTACTTCTTTATTTTCCTGTGGTTCTTACTAACATTACACTTAGCTTCTTGAATTATTACTTACCAATGTCTTTATCTTATCTACTGTACTGTGAGATCCTTCAAGTTATTCATTCTTTTTGCATTTTTCAATACCTGCCTTGTACCTATAATAAAACCAGGTCTCTGTTACTGTTAGTGGTGGGATGATGACTACAGTTGGTAGAATATGGAACTGAAGCACATTTCTGGTAATGGCTTGGGAAAGAGGAACATACTGCAGTGGTTTTCACAGATAAGAATAAAAAGAATTTGGACTTGGTATGTGGAGAAAGAAGGGGAGTTAAAATCACGCTGAGATTTCTTTGAGGTCCTATTTTTTCATTATAAAGAATATCTCAAATATAGTTTCACTACTTTTTGTTCCTTTCTAGGACAGCTCTATTAACATGAACTACTAAGAAAAAATTGGAATAAGTATGATGCATAATTGCAATTTTGAAATAAGGAATTAGTGACTAAATATAACTTAGAAAATACTGCCTTTTGTTATTTGTTTACAGGGATAACCTATTTGGTATAGCCTATTTGGTATATTTCCTTTTTCTGACTCTTTTGTGACAGTTTATATGGATGGACATTCATTTTCTTCTTTTGATACTTATAATTAAGATACCAAGTCCTATGTTAGGGGAGCATTATTCATCATTTAAAAAATCTTGATGACTAATGAATATGAATTTACTTGTCATGCTTTATGTATGTGTTCTGGTTGAAAAAAATCGTGACATTTTCTTGTTCAAAAATTGCACTGTGATAAGAATAGAAATCAACAAAGGATGAACAAATGCAGCAGTGGTACTCACAAGACACTGTGTTGAAATGAACTGTACAACTTGTGAGTGGGGATGGGAGGGAAACACTGGGAGAGACAGGGAAGGGTGAAATGTATTCATTACTTGGCTTATTTAGCTGTAACCCCTCTCTATATCACCTTTATAATAACACTAAAAACAAAAATAAAAAAGAAGAAAATATGTTAAAGAATAGTGATTACAGTTTGGGTAATTGCATTTAAATTAAATTGCTATTTAAATTAAGTCTCTCTTTTCAGTTTTTTTCTAATTAGTCTCTTGTCAGGACTCTCCCTGGACAGTTTCATTTTCACACTGACTTTTACACTAGGTATGGGAAACATGTAGGTAGAGGAAAGGAATAACTACTAGCATGTACAAGGGTCAGATATGATATTAACATTTATTCAGTCGATTAGATATTATTCTAATTTTCAAGTTTAAACCTGAACATAACCTTTTAGTTATTTTTCAGATAAGGACCCACATTTTTGTCTGCAATTGAGATACTCCTGTTTGTAGCTCCTTTGTAGCTAGAAGTCCAAGTGAACACACCCTGTTTATCTGTTTATTGATTGAGGTGGAATATCCTTAACTTTTTACCCTGGACTAACCTTGGACTGCAGTCCTCTCAATCTCTACTTCCAGAATAGCTAGGATTACAGACATAAACCCATTTGCCTGGCTTTAAAACATTTTTTCAATACAGAATTAGCCTAGTTAAAATAATTTTGAGATAAAGTAACTTTTTCCTTTGTGATTATTCTTTTGGTATTTATTTTTTTCCTAGCACTACTGAGTTTCAGGGCCTCAACACTTGGTAGGCTGGTATTCTACCATTTGGGTCACAACTCTAGCTTTTTTTGGTAGGGGGCAGGCAGGGTCTCTCCTGAGTGAATGCTTGAGTTTTTGATCCACTTACCTTAGGCTTCCCAAGTTGCTGGAATCACAGGTGTGCACCATCCTGTCTAGCTTCCTTTCTATGGAGATAGAATCTTGGGACTTTTCTGTCCTGTCTGTCCTAGAACTATGATCCTCTCAATCTCAGTCTCCCAAATACCTAGGATTATGAGCAGGAGCTACCAGTGCCTGGCTTCCTTGGTGGCTGTATTAAAGTTTATGTAAGTCATTATTTCCTATAGTTTGAGAATGATCTGCAGTGTGGACTTTCTACCTCATCTTGGTATTGATCTTACTTTTTAAAGAATGCACTTTTTACCTTTTGTCTTTCTTTCCTTATTATTTTTCTTGTTTTGATTCTGGGGCTTGAACTCGGGGCCTGGGTACTGTTCCTAAGTTTTTTTGCTCAAGTCTGGCACTTTACCACTTGAGCCACAGCTCCACTTCTGGTTTTTGGTGGTTAATTGAAGATAGGAATCTCACAGACTTTCCTGCCTGAGCTGGCTTTTTTTTTTTAATTGTGAAAATACTGTACAGAGGGGTTACAATTACATGGACAAGATAATGTATACATTTCTTATCAAGCATTGTAGCCTCCTCCCCCCTCCCGCCCCACACCGAATCCTCCTCCCCCCTCCCCCCCCACCAAAGTTGTAAAGTTTGTTTTTCGACATGACGACTTGTACATCTCATTGTTGCAATGGGTCCACCTGTATCACTATCTAAACGATTTGTTTTTTCCCTTCCCCCTTCACAAATTATACCATCAAATACTGTGAAAGCAGGGATTATACCGTGGGGGAGGGACATACAAAGCAACAAAGAAATAATCTTATAAATATGTTAGAAACAATCTCATGAAAGAAAAAAAAATTTTGAATTCATATCTTAGGGTTCATTTCCCTAACATCACCTTATCTGTCCTTTTCTGCTTGACTCAGACATATAGTAGTTATTGCAAATAAGGGAAACCATGGGACCTATGTTTCTTTGGGCCTGGCTTACTTCACTTAATATAATTTTTGGGGGGCTGGCTTTTAACTATTATCCTCAGAATTCAGTTTCCTGTGTATATAGTTACCAGACATGAGCCTCCAGCAACTAGCTAATGCAATCTTTTTAAAAATAGAGGTTTCTCACTGTAATTTTTGTGGTTATTAATCATTTTTCCATGTACTAAATCATATATGGACGTAATCATGTATGGCCTCTTTCCTCCCAGTTTACAGATTGTTTTGAATTCATTTCTTTATAAAATGAAGTCGCAAACTTGCATCTTGCTTTTCTTATAATAAAACAATTTGTGAAAAATCCATTTAAGCCTTCAGCCTTTGCTTGAATTCTTTGTGTTCATTGAGTTTTATAGTGGTATGCAGCATGCTGTACCAAATGGTTTCAACTTCTGCATCTTTTATGCTGAATTTAAGAGTTTTTACTAATGACACATGTGTTTTATATGTGTTATATAAATGGTTTGGTAACTACAGATAATCATTTGTTTTCTGTCCCCTTTCTAGGTATCACTCCTTTGTACCATAATATGTTTGCATTAATGAATGAAACAGAAAGGATCTGGTATCCACCCAACCATGTCTTCCATATAGATGAGTCAACCAAACTAAATGTACTGTACAGAATAAGGTACTTTCTCACATAAATTGACCTGTTTTGACCAAATGGCAAAGTGGGAAAAATTATCTCCAATGAATCAGTTAAGTTTTTAACCTTCATTTTTTTTCAAAAGAAGCAACAGTGATTCATCTTCACATGAAATTAGTGTTTTCAGATTCTTCTACTGACATTACTGGATTCAAAAATGTTTACTTTTTATGTTTTTTTTTTTTTTTTTGGGTCTGGTCGTGGGGCCTGAACTCTGGGCCTGGGCGCTGTCCCTCAGCTCTTCAGCTCAAGGCTAGCACTCTACCACTTGAGCCACAGTGCCACTTCCGGCTTTTTTCTTTTTGCTGAGGAATCGAACCCAGGGCCTCAAGCATGCAAGGCAAGCGCTCTACCGCTGAGCCACCTTCCCAGCCCCAAATGTTTACTTTTTAATTGGTATTTTAATTCCTACATTTCTGTTTCCTATGCTTCTGCATTCTACATTCTATATTGCGCCAAAGTAAGCAGTATGTTGACTTTACACTTACTTATGTTTCTTGCATTTCTTTGCTTTTGGGGATAGTGTTGGGAATTTTGAGACCATGTAGTCCAGGCTGGGCTCACAATTCTCATCCCCTTCCTTCAGTCTCCAGGGTGCTGAAGTTACAGGCATGTGCCATCATACCTGGCTGGATTTTCTATTTACTATATCATCATGGTATTATCCATGATGTCCTTTTGTACCCAACTTGTATTAACATTGTTGGCTGTGTTTTCTGATAACAAGATAATATCTTTTGGCATGGAAAAAGTGGTTAAATATTCATTATGTTTATATTTGAAATCTGTGGAGGCTGAAGTCATGTGTTAATTTTCTTACAGGTTTTACTTTGCTCACTGGTACTGCAGTGGCAGTAACAGAACCTATCGGCATGGAGTATCTCGAGGGACTGAATCTCCTCTTCTTGATGACTTTGTTATGTCTTACCTTTTTGCTCAGGTACAGTTGTATTATTTGTGCATTAAATGATAGATATCATCCAGAACAAACTTTACACTGGAAAATTACAATTCTGTTTTATGCAGCAAGTATAGAAATGTAAAAAGATTAATCTTTCTAACACTAATTTTGAATCCCTTGATTTATGAATGATAACATTTATTTGATAAAGATTCCATTATTCTGCTATATTGGAACTCTAGCTCATCATAAGGATTTCACAGAGTGTAGAATGAGTTTTACAACATGATTTTTTATAGGGATTAGATGGTTCATTTCTTTAGTCTTTTATAAATTTCTGGACAATTTCAGTCTTAAGTAGTGGGTAGTGAAATGTAAAGATTGTAAGTAACATAAAACTAATCTGTGATAATTTTATAGTAGTTTGTGTAGCTACTTACAAGAGGATGGCTAGATGTTAGTAGAGAGCTGCATTCTAGCTATTTGTTTTTTAATATTGTTAAGATTATATATATATATTTTTGGGTCCAGTCGTGGGGCCTGAACTCTAGGCCTGGACGCTGTCCCTCAGCTCTTCAGCTCAAGGCTAGCACGCTACCACCTGAGCCACAGTGCCACTTCTGGCTTTTTTTTTTGCTTATGTGGTACTGAGGAATCGAACCCAGGGCCTCAGGCATGCAAGGCAAGTGCTCTACCACTGAGCCACCTTCCCAGCCCAAGGTTACATTTTTTTTTTTTTTTTTCAAGGTTACATTTTTGAAGTTTATCTATTTCATAGTACTTCTCTATTACTTTTATTTAAACAGTATTGTCATTACAGTGCTTTTACTTTTCAAATGCTACTGGAATGGTAAAGGTATCCCCATGGCATTAAAATTAGGTCTTCTAAAGTTATAGGAAATAAAGGAAACAACCCTACTGGTCCTAGTAGCTTGCTTTTTCAAGAACTCTCATAAAGCTTGGTAAGTTTATGAGCCACAAGTTGAAAACTATTTCCTTATTTGAGTTGAGGCCCATTAATTTTTTTAATCATAGTAAAATACATAATAGTCACATTTCTTTTAATTTATATACTGATGATTGAATCCAGGGCTTTTGTGCTTGCAAGACTAAGCCATGTCCCTAATCCCCTCAAAAATACATAATATAATTGAATATTTTAACCATTTTAAGTACATAGTAGGCTCACCTTACTTGTGGATTTATTATACACAGTGTAATAAATATGACACACAAGTACAGTCAAAAATAAATAAAAATCAAAAGTTTCAAAACAATTTTTTTTTTTATTCCCAACTAGGCATCATATGCCTTAATTGATGTGGAGAGGCTCCCAGTCAGTCCCACATTATTGTCAGTTGAGTGATCTGCTGAGTGTTTCCTGGCTCTTGTTTTGTGAAAATTTGCCTCCCACAAAGCAAATGGTGCCCAGAAAGCAAGGACAAATGATGACAGTCCTTCTGAGCTAAAAAGGGCACATCATGTACTTAATTTAAATGATAAAGTGAAAAATTTAGATTTATTGAATGACAGCCTATCTTTAGTAGAAGTTGGACAGCATTAGGGAAAAATGAGTCAAGTACTCAAATTATAGTACTGAAAATACGTATCCTAGCATTTGTGGGTTTTCTATATAACTTTGATACCAAAGTGCTATTTGTTTTACAATATAATCAAGTTATGCTTTATTTGTCACCACCATCCGTATCTAGAGTATTTTTCATATTTCCAAATAGAAACTTCATACCCATTAAACATTTTTATATTTTACTTTTACTCATTTTATATCCTAAGAACTTGTCAGTGACCAATCTTATGTTCTTCCTCTATGAGCTTTACTAATTATGTCAAATAAATGGAATTATATGGTTTTTGTCTTTTGTGAATGGCTTATTTCATTTAGCATAATGTCTTCAAAGTTCATCCATGTTGTTACATATATCAGAGTCTCTAGAGCTTTTCCTGTCTGGGCTGGCATCAAACCACCTACTTCAGGTCTCAGCCTCCTGAGTAGTTAGGATTACAGGTGTGAGCCACTGGTGCCCAGCTTCTTTGCCCACTTTTTTTTTTTTTGTCAGTCATGAGACTTGAACTTTAGGTCTGGGCGCTATTCCTGCACTCTTCAGCTCAAGGCAAGCGTTCCACCATTTGAGTCACAGCGCCACTTCTGGTTTTCTGGTGGTTAATTGGAGATAAGTCTCACAGACTTTACTGCCCTAGCTAGCTTTGAACCACAACCCTCAGATCTCAGTCTCCTGAATAGCTAGGATTACAGGTGCGAGACACCAGAGCCCAGCTTTTGCTCACTTTTTAATCAGACTTTTTTGTTCAGTTTTTCAGGCAACTCTATTTCCTATATCAGCTCCATACTATATTGTATCTGAGCCATATGGTAACCTCTTAAAGAGCCCCACCCTCCAGCACATTTTACTTTGTCTAAGTATGTTTGTCGTTGTGACTACTGTTACCAATGGGAGAGAATCTCATTGCTCTTGGGATAAAGTCATTCGAAGGAACCTGTAGTTTGATCTCAACCAAACTAGTTTATATCCCTGGACATGCCTTGTGCTTTGTTTTTTTGTTATTCTTTCACTTCCTCAGTATATTTTGTGCCCATTAAAAAGTTCTTCACATCTTTCAAAGCTACAGGATATTTAAATCTATTAAACCTCCCCAAATTTCAGCATTTTCTAAAATTTTAAAGTAGCTATGGTGTTGTACAATTTCTGGCATTGAAATTGTTTTCACTAACCTTCAAGCTAGATTTAATTTATTTTTTAAAAAGTTTTTTAAAATTTGTCAACGTGGTGTACAGAGGGGTTTCAGTTACATAAGTAAGGGCATGGGTATGTTGAGGGAAGAAGTAAAAAGCTAGATTTTAATACTTTTGATGGCTAAGGCCACAACTTTATTTCTTTGTCTCCAACATTATCTCTAACATATTAGGGATACTTTTAACATAAATAGAACTCAATATATATTCAATTTTAATATCTATTTTAGTTCTATATTTTATGTAGAAAATAACATTTGTAAATATATGCAATGAAATTGGATATGTCATATGTATTCCATATTGTATGCACAATTTATGTCAGTTTCCATTTGTAAATGAACTTTTATGGAGAAATTATTAGGAATAATTCTAGCTTCTCAGTAATCCTTATAATCCTAGCTATTCCAGAGGATGTAATCTAAGGATTATGGTTTGAAGGCAGCCCAGGCAGGAAAGTTTATGAGACTCTTATCTCCAATTACCACCTAAAAACCAGAAGTGAAGCTTAAAATGGTAGAGCAAAAAAAGGTGAGGGACAGTTGCTTAGGCCCTGAGTTCAGTTGCTCAGGCCCTGTGACTGACCAAAAAAAAAAAAAGTTGAGTTATACCTTTAAATTGCATATGTTCTGGAAATACTATGTTAATAGGTTGAAATATGATGGTTTAAAATGGGATAGTGCAGTTTAAAGTAAAATTATTAATTTTATTTCTGTCAGTGGCGGCATGATTTTGTTCATGGATGGATAAAAGTACCTGTGACTCATGAAACACAGGAAGAATGTCTTGGGATGGCAGTATTAGATATGATGAGAATAGCAAAAGAAAAGGATCAGACTCCGCTGGCTGTTTATAACTCTATCAGGTAATTTTCTTATGCATATATATCTATATATATATATATATGTATACGCACATATAGATGTGAACTTAGAGGTTTTGGATAATTTTTTTCAGTGTTTGCCTTTATTTTTTGATTTTATAGTACTAAAAAACAATCAGGCTGGGGATATAGATCATTTGTAGGGCACTTTCCTAGCAATCTGGATTTGATCCTTAGCACTACAAGAAAACAAACCAGCTGCAATTACTGGAAGAGTTTTACAGTATCAGAAAATTATCAGAGATTTTTGAGTCTATATATTTTTTGGTAAGTTTAAAGGAATGGCAGAATACTTGGGGAAGTAAGTTTTGATAGCCGGCCCTCAACTTACACTATTAATCAGAATAAGTATTTTTTTTTTAATTTTATTTTATTGTAAAGCTACTATACAGAGGGTTACAGTAGAATAAGTATTTTTTAAGTTGTCCTTTACTTTATATTTTACTTGCACTGGGAATCATCTGGGGATCATTTAAAATGGAAGATTCTCAGGCTGTAATTGAACAGATCTGTATATAGTAAATATAAGCTGAAGCCCACAACTATGAGCTTTCAGCTTTTATGTTTCCTCCACAGCTTTGTTTATTTTATTTTATTTTTTTAAACAATTCTGATGGATAACATGACACTGAAGTGGATTTACCATATCCAAGAGCCACGCAATCCTGCCAGGCACATGGCTTAAACCAGTGGTTGGATATCTGTTACTTCTGCTATGTGGGAATCTGAGAATGGGATGATTGTGGTCCTAGCTGGCTTGGATAACAAACAAGTACTGGGACAAATAAAAAAAAATCATAGCCACTTAGCATTTGGGAAAATTGGCTCAACAGAGACATGTCTTAAAAGTGATGAAATTGGTGGGTATGAGTTTATAAAACAACTCAGGGGCTGGGAAGGTGGCTCAGTGGTAGAACGCTTGCCTTGCATGCCTGAGGCCCTGGGTTCGATTCCTTAGCATCACATAAGCAAAAAGAAAAAAGCCGGAAGTGGCGCTGTGGCTCAAGTGATAAAGTGCTAGCCTTGAGCTGAAGAGCTGAGGGACAGCGCCCAGGTCCAGAGTTCAGGCCCCACAACCGGATCCCCCCCCCCCAAAAAAAACAAAAAAAAGCAACAACTCAGTTTTTCGGTAAAATGGCTTTCTTGAGCAGTTCTAACTACTTGCGTGCAAAACGCTTAAGAGTTCCAAAGGGACTTGATGTATAGTAGGAGAAGATATAAGTAGTGGTATACTGGTAACAAATAGTTCCTAAAAAATAAGAAAACTGATATTCTGATTTGTTTGTAATATTTTCTGATATCCATATAACAAATATTCCATGATAGCCAGTTTCAAGATACCAGCTTGATATCAGGGAATACAAAATTGGTAGTTGTGACAAACCCTTTTTACCATTTGCATATGATTAATACAAATAACATCAAAGGCATAGATGGCATAGATAGTATAGTATTGCTCCAGAGTATGATTGGAAATAAGCAGGCCTAGAGTTGTATAATAGACTGTTACATACATTCTGTCAAAACAAAAGGAGGAACATTTAATTCAGTAATGAATGAGATCTAGACAAGTTTCCTAGATTTGGTAATACTTGAACTGAGACTTGTAGGACCAGTTAAAGCTAAGTAGATAGGAGACTGGTGATAGGAATGAAGATTAAGCTATATGAAGGTCTAGAAATCTTATGTAGTTGTAGTTCAGAAATGAAATGTTCATTTGCTCTTTAAGCTGATAAATGTAAAAATGAAGGTACAGAAAAGTCAGAACGTTTCTAATAGGAAATATTTTGATCATAAGGAACTTAGTAGGAATTGTTGGAGCTAGCCTAATAGAACTTTGTATACAAAAGTATACAGAGCATACAACAAAATTAGCCACTTTGGGGATTCAGATAAAATTTTGCAGTCTTACGTTATAGGAAATATTTATAGCCCAGAACAATAGATGTTAAAAAAATCTTATAAATGATGATTGGGGATCCAGGAAATAAGAGAAAGTGAATTTTTAGATACTTTAGTATTAATGATACAGGAATTCACTTCAGTAGGGGATGAAAATTAACATCTATTCTAAACTTAATGGTAACTCAAACCCTGCCTGAGATAAATTGGTTGTATGGATGGTAATTCTGTCAGCATAGCCCATTTGACTGCTGTAACATGTTCCTACCTAGGGAAAAGGTCGCATCTTTCAATTTTGTTTAGATTTATCTTCGAACTTTTGTTTTTCTGTGCGTGACTATTTTATTCCTAGCTACAAGACATTCTTACCAAAATGTGTTCGAGCAAAGATCCAAGACTATAATATTCTGACAAGGAAGAGAATAAGGTACAGATTTCGCAGATTTATTCAGCAGTTCAGTCAATGCAAAGCCACTGCCAGAAACTTGAAACTTAAGTATGTTATAAATCTGGAAACTCTTCAGTCTGCCTTCTACACAGAGCAGTTTGAAGTAAAAGAATCTGGAAGAGGTCCTTCAGGTGAGGAGATTTTTGCAACCATTATAATAACTGGAAACGGTGGAATTCAGTGGTCAAGAGGGAAACATAAAGAAAGTGAGACACTGACAGAACAGGTAATCCTTAATGATATGTTCTCATTTTTGTTATGTTAAGTAGAATGCCAATAGAAACAAAGTAATTTTAATCATTTGAAACATGGTTTTGCACTTTTCCCATGATGAAAGTAGTGTGAAGTCTTCAAGGTCATTTCATGTTCTGAAATGGCTTTTAATTTAATTTTTAATGACAATAATAATGACTTTTTACATTTTTCAGAAAAGAGATGAATTCTATAAGTGATTATAATCTTTTTCTTGCCTTATTATTAGTAATAAGGAGTTTTAACCATAAAGCTAATTAAATGGAAAAGATTATTTCTAATTGATTTATGATAATGTGTGTCTATTAATTAACTTACTATGTTTGGTTTTCATTGAAGTTATTGTCATTGCAGACATTTTAAATTTGTCCTATTGTTCTTAGATTGTTTCAGAGATTAAGTGCAATTATTTTATTTCTATTTTTATCATCTCTAATTTTCTGGCAATAGTTCATATTAATGTTAATTATATTAAAGAGTACCATAATTCCCTATAGATTCCTGGAATTTTTAATATTCTCATGCTTAAGTCAAAGCAAAGTAAGTTTAGTATTACTGTTAGAGTTTGGGGAGAAGAAATCACTCTTGATGTCTATCTGTTGTCATCAAGAGATAAAGAATTTTGAATGAATGTGCCTCTTCATAAATTCTGTTTAGGATGGCTCCATAACTGTTTTTAACTTTAAATACTCTTAATTTCAGGATTTACAGTTGTATTGTGATTTTCCTGATATTATTGATGTTAGTATAAAGCAAGCAAGCCAGGAATGCTCAAATGAAAGTAGAATTGTAACTATCCATAAACAAGATGGTAAAATTTTGGTAAGTCTGTTTTATGACTAAACGGTGATTGCATTTTGTAATTGTCAGACATAAATATTTGAGTCTTACTACCAAAGTTACTTTATTATAGGAATTTTAATTATTGGTATAGCTCTAAACATGTTACTGGTTACTAATTTTTTAAACCACATCTGAGTTTTTATTTTACTACCAAAGACTTATCCTCTGAGAGTTTCTTTGCATTACTACACATTCTTCTCATTTTTTATAATTCACACAGCACCAATTACTCCCACACCCTTCCTGTGACTCATAATTGTGCTAGCTACCTGTTATAATGATCATTCCTGACTAAAATGTTGTATTCTTATCAGTTAGATTATGTGTGAACCCTACATAATGCCATATTGCCTAATTAAAAGAGAAAATAAACTAATCTTGTATGGCATTTCTATGATAAAATATAAACCTGTTCTAATTCAGCCTCACTCAAGTTGTAAGACATAATTAATTCTAAAAGATTAGTCCTGGTTTTTAAATAACATAGCTTCAAAATCCCATTTATTTTATATCAAAAGAAATGAACTCTTTATATTCCTCCTTTAAATTTCTTACTTGCTTGGTTGTGTATTCTTTTTACCTTGAATGCTTTTTGAACACCTGGCTTGATTATAATATTATTTATTCATTTATCTTAAATATGTGTGGCTTAATTCTAGCCTTTTAATAAATTATAACTGACTTGCAGCTCACTTTATTTTGAACATTTTCCTGTACCGAGATAAAAATTGTGGTAAGTAGCGTACACATATGGTCCAACAGGCAGTAAGCTTCTTGAATGTAAGAATCATATTTTATGTGTGTTTTTATGTCCTTCACTTTGCACAATGCTCTTGGACATATTTTAGCAAGAATTATTGATAAACATTTCATATATATATGAAAGTATGATTAGTAATTATCAACACCCATGTAGATCTATAATAGGTGTTTCTAAAAGAGTCTATTGATTTTTATGTGACCAGCCGTTCTTAATACAAAGACTTTTCTTATGGGAAGATGTTTGGATTTGCTGACTTAATTCAAAGTTTGTAATACAGGAAAGTTAAGTAACTTTCCAAGATCTTTATGATTGGGTGGATGTTAAGACTTTAAATTTGGTTTCATGATCTAAAAATTTCAGTTCTTAATTTTTATTATTTTAAGTTTAGAGCCTGAGGCCCCGAGTTCAAATTCTAGTACTGCCAAGAAAAAAGGTTACATTGTGTAAGAATGTTTTGAAATTTTTCTAGTAATTGCTTCACACGTTTAATCCTACCTCCTACATCTACGTTTATAAATGAGGCTTTCTCTTTAATTCTCTTATCAAATTGACTATTTTTACATATGTAAATATAAATATACAAATGTATATATGTGCATGCTACATATTCTAATATTTCAGTTTCTAAGCACGAATATTTTAGTCTTAGCAGTATGATGTTGGTGTGTAAAAATAAATGCTCAGGCTTTTTAATTAATACTAAATTTTTATCAGATCCCATTTCTATAAGAGGTAACTGACATTGGTTTAAAGGATTATTATAAAATACATTAAGTAGACTTAATGTATGTGGAGTAAATTGTAATGGAAATACATGATAATCCAATATTTGAGAGGCTTTTAAGTAACAGACATAAGAATTTGTCATGTAGATTGGGGAATTTGGAGTCATATTTGAAAAATTCTAATTAATTTAGGAGAATTAATGCAATAATGTGGGGTGTAAAGAAATTTCAGCATTTAGAATTCAATTGACTTTCAAATGACATGAGTCTTTTTTCTTTTCTCTTAGGAAATTGAACTTAGTTCATTAAGAGAAGCTTTATCATTTGTGTCATTAATTGATGGGTATTATAGATTAACTGCAGATGCACACCATTACCTCTGTAAAGAAGTAGCACCACCTGCAGTGCTAGAAAATATACAAAGCAATTGCCATGGTCCAATCTCGTGAGTAATACAGACTTTATATATAAATTTTTAAAATAGCACATTTAGGGCTGGGAAGGTGGTTCAGTGGTAGAGTGTTTGTTTGCCTTGCATGCATGAGGCCCTGGGTTTGTTTCCTCAGCATCACATAAGCAGGAAAAGCTGGAAGTGGCTCTGTGGCTCAAGTGGTAGAGCACTAGCCTTGAGCTGAAGAGCTGAGGGACAACGCCCAGGCCCAGAGTTCAGGCCCCACGGATGACAAAATAAAATAGCACATTTGTAATTATAGTTATTTATAGTCAGTTATACTTGCCACATCCATGAATTAAGTCAACCATATAATGAACATAGTTTTGAAAAAGTTGTGTCTGTATTGGACATATACTTACTTTTCATTATTTCCTAAACAGTACAATAGAACAATGTTTACTTTGAATTTACATTATCATATATATCATCAGTGATCTAAAGATGATTTAATGTTTGTGGGAGGATGTGCATAGGTTACATGCAAATTTTACTATTTTGTTTAAGAGAATATCCTAAGATTTGGGTTTTGGAACCAAATCCCCACGGATGTCAAGGGACAACTATATTTATAAAGAAGATTTTATACAATACGTGTACGTTTAAGGGTTTGGAAAGGAAATTTATTCTCGGGCTGGGAATGTGACTTAATGGTAGAGTGCTTGCCTTGCATGCATGAGGACCTGGGTTCGAGTCCTCAGCACCACATAAGCAAATAGAAGGAAGCCGAAGTGGCGCTGTGGCTCAAGTGGTAGAGTGCTAGCGTTGAGCTGAAGAGCTGAGGGACAGCGCCCAGGCCCAGAGGTCAGGCCCCACGACCAGACCCCCTTTCCTCCCCAAAAAAAGAAATTTATTTTCTACCAGAAATCTGTTTGCAGCCGGGTGCTGGTGGCTCACACCTGTAATCGTAGCTACTAAGGAGGCTGAGATCTCAGGATCATGGTTCAAAGTCATCCCGGGCAGGAAAAGCCGTGAAACTTGTTTTTTTTTTTTTTTTTTTGGTGGGGGGGGGGGGGGGGGTCCGGTCATGGGGCCTGAACTCTGGGCCTGGGCGCTGTCCCTCAGCTCTTCAGCTCAAGGCTAGCACTCTACCACTTGAGCCACAGCGCCACTTCAAGCTTTTTTTCTTTTTGCTTATGTGGTGCCGAGGAATTGAACGCAGGACCTCATGCATGCAAGGCAAACGCTCTACCACTGAGCCACCTTCCCAGCCCCTCCGTGAAACTCTTATCTCCAGTAAACCTCCAGAAAACCGGAAGTGCCGCTCTGGCTCAAGTGGTAGAGCGCTAACCTTGAGCTGAAGAGCTGAGGGACAGCACCCACAGGTCCACAGTTCAAGCCCCATGACCAACAACAACAACAACAATCTGTTTGCATAAATCATATTACATTACAATTAGAACCATTGTGTACCTTCACAATAATTAACCAGTTTTAAGGTTCAGTAGAGTTTTTCAGTTACTATTAGACTTTAGAATTATATTAAAATAATGCACACAATTTTTATATTAGTAACTGCTATAATAGAGCTAAGAGACATTTTCTGCATAGTTAAATAGAATTTTATAAGAATGAATATGGCTTAAAATACTAGATTTGTAATTAGAAAGCAGAAAATTCAATGAGTTTTCTTTTTAATGGTTATTGTCTTATAATATCTTGTGGGAGTTTCTGAAGTAATATAATTGTTCCTTGAATTGGTTTGAACTTATTTCAAAATAGCTTGATAAATTGATTTCCCCCCCCTTGCAAGATTATTGATAAGTATATCATAGACTGATCTTCTAAAAGTTCAGTTTTAAATTTGACTTCTGATTTCTTACATGTCATTTGATCATCATGCAGTGTTGCTTGTGGTCATTCATATTATTTCTTTTTAATCTTCAGAATGGACTTTGCCATTAGTAAACTGAAGAAAGCAGGTAATCAGATTGGTCTATATGTACTTCGATGCAGTCCTAAGGATTTTAATAAGTATTTTTTGACTTTTGCTGTTGAGGTTAGTATGGCACATTTATTTATGGTAACATGTTTTTTAGTCTATACTTTATCCTTAGTGCTTATCATGTATTATTTTCCTTTTAATTCAGAATTATAACTCTGGGTATGATAACTGGCATCATAATTATTAACTTATCTAAAAATTCTGCATAAATAATTCCTAGTGTTTATGTAAACATAAAATTATATGTGCAACCAGTTTGTCAAATACTTTGTCACCAAAAGTAGAACTCTTTGCCATATTCTGTGGAGCAAAATTAATTGGAAGCAAATTTCTGTTTATTAGCACTGGCTGCTAATTAAGAAAAATAGAACAATAACAAAGGAACAGAAACACCATAGCACTTTTAACTTGTAATTTCCCAATATTAAGACTATAATCATGTATATAATTTATGCTTGAAGTGTAAAACTGCAGAGAAGCCTCTGTTAAATGCACCTCATCTTGACTCTCATCTAATATTATGTACTATTCACAAGTTCTTAAAAGATACTGTCATTTATTAGGAAATTTCATGGCTCAAATCTTTTTATAGCAGCAGGAAAATTTATTTTGTTTTTAAAAAGTAAAGACTTTTGTTATTTACTTGTTTTGTAAAAGCAACCATCTTGCATTTAGCACATCCAGAGAATGGATTAATATATGAATTATGAAAGGTAGATGAAGCCATTACTTCACCATTGTATGAAATTAATAATCCTAATTTTAGAATAACACTTATTACAATTTATGACAATCAATTGTGTTGAATTTTGTGTTTATACTGTATGTGCCTCACCTAATATGAGCGATATAAATTAGAAGATGTATATATGCTATATGTTATATGATATAAACCTATCTTCAAGAAACATCTTTTGGAAAACAAAAATTAGAAAGTGTACTAATTGCTTTCTTACTTTGTTTAAATAGAGTCTATTTGTGAGCTACTTCTGTAGGCTATGGAATGATAATTAAATGCCTTCTTGAGAAGCCAAGGGCCTTTGACTGTACCCTGCTTTATGATTTATTGTTTAAATATTCTGAAAACAATTACTATACTGTCCATTGTAACGTTCCCTCCTTCTCTTTATAATTAAACTTATATAGAGAGAAAACGTCATTGAATATAAACACTGTTTAATTACAAAAAATGAGAATAGAGAGTACAACCTCAGTGGGACTAAGAAAAATTTCAGCAATCTTAAAGATCTTTTGAATTGCTACCAGATGGAAACTGTTCGCTCAGACAATATAATTTTCCAGTTTACTAAATGCTGTCCCCCCAAACCAAAAGGTAAAAAAAAAATCTAGTTATTTAAAAAATACTGGTAATGGGCTATGTATGTGGTAGAAGATAACTTTAGTACACTGATTTGAAAAGAAATACCAAAGAAGCACTTATAAAAACAAATTAGTTTTGTATCATTCTGTTGTACAAAGCAGCGTTAAGTAGGATCAGGTTGTTTGGTTTGCTGTTAGTGGCTTGATATTCTATTTTTCTAAAATTGCATTTTAAAGATAATTAGTCACATATGGACCTGGACAGTTTTGCTACTAGATTTTGCTCATGTGTTTTAAATAAGCATTTTCATGCAGGTTTTAAAATTTTAATGTCTGCACTTTTAAAGTAGGTAGTAAGGTTGGAAATTCCTTGAAATAATACAGTTAATTATTAAACCCTTTGGAAAACTGTATTAGTTAAATAAGTGATCCTAATTTTGAATGTGTGAAATAATTGGTAAGTTCAATGAATAAAAGGCAAATAATTTTATATGAAAAAGATGAACAGTGAACAGCTATTATTTATTATATTCATATGCTACTTTGTTGAATGACAATGACTTTGTACAACTACTTAAAGATTAAAATAAAATTAAAAAAGAATACATTCATTTTACTTTTCTTTGGAGCAAGTCATATTTTTAATGTGTTTTGATGGATACACTCACACATATCAACACACACATACATATATACATGTGTCTTATTGTTATTTTTCAGATAAATCGAATCTTCTAGTCTTCAGAACCAATGGCATTTCTGATGTGCCAAACTCACCAACGTTACAGAGGCATAATAATGTGAACCAAATGGTATTTCACAAAATCAGAAATGAAGACTTGATATTTGTAAGCCATTAAATAATGATCATTTTCTTTCTTCTTGATTTCTTACCCTGTATTATATTTATGTGATATTTGGAACTATTTTGTTATAACATATGTTATAAAGTTTACTTGCAATTTAAACATTTTATATGTTATGAGAAATATGCCAACTTTGTGTTAGAAATAAGAAAAAATTAAGAATGAATTATATTCTCTTTTCAGATATTTAAATATTTCCTTTATAAATTGTTAAAGTTCTCAAGACAATAAGGGAAATACATAGTATTCTTTTTTTGTGAGATTTTTTAAAGATTATTATTTTAAAAGTGATGTACAGAGGGGTTACAGTTACACAAGTCAAGGTCATGAGTACATTTCTTTTTGGACAACGCCACTCCTTCCCTGGCTTTCCAAAGTATTCTTTTTTAAGGAACTCAGAATAGTATACTAGAGCTGATGCTTTGATGGATGTGGAGTTTAGACTGTTTTATCTTCTAAAAATTAAAAACTATACAAAGAAAAAGGGCTGGTTAGTAAGCTTTTGTGAGGCCAATACTTAAAAGTGAGACAATCCCTGCTGAAAGCAAGGATTCTGAAGAACATACTTCTTGAGTGAAAAATTAACTTCCAAGCAAAAGAGAAAGGAAGAACATTACTTATTTTACTTCAGTTCCTTTATTTATTTTTTAAATGTTATTGTCAAGGAAATGTGCAGAGGGGTTACAGTTAAATATTTAAGGTAGCAAGTACATTTCTTATAAAACTTGTTACCCCTTCCCTCATTTTTCTCCCATGTTCCCTCCCTCCAACCTCCCCTCAATTTGTACAGTTCATTTCCATCATACTGTCTTATGAGTATCACTGTTGCATTGTTTTGTCCTTTGTCCTTAGTCTCACCAGTTTGTTGTTCCCCTTCCCTTCCCAACTTCAGATAAACGTATATACAATACGCAGGGTACCAAAATCAAATACAGTGACAAATGGGATAAACCATAGCAAAAAGGAAAAAAATACAAAAGAAAAAGGAAATCACATAGTACATTAAAAACAACAACAATAACGAAGAACCTCCTGTGTCTATGTCTTGTAGTTCATTTCACTTAGCATCATCTTATATGGACATATGTACATAGCTATTCTGCTCATCTGTTAGGATTATCCTAACCATATATTGATCATTACAAATGAAGGAAACCATGGGATCTATGTTTCTTTAGGTCTGGTTGAGTTTACTTAATACAATTTATTCCAAGTCTTTTCATTTCCTTACAAATTGGGGAAGTGTCATTCTTGCTGATGGAGGCATGGAATTCAATTGAATATGTATACCACATTTTCTTAATCCATTCATTTACTTAGGGACATTTGGGTTGATTCCAAATCTTTTTTTTTTTTAATTTAATTTTATTTTATTTGAGAACATACTGTACAGAGGGGTTACAATTACATGGGCAGGATAATGCATACATTTCTTATTGATTCCAAATCTTAACTATGGTAAACAATACTGTGATAAACATAGTTGTGCTGGTAGCTTTACAGACCCTTGTTTGTGGTTGTTTGGGTAAATGCCCAGAAGTGGGATTGCTAGGTCATAGGGGAGCTATGTGTGGAGTCTTTTGAGGAACCTCAATACTGCTTTCCAGAGTGGTTGAACAAATTTACACTCCACCGAGAGTATTAGTAGTGTTCCCTTTTGCCCACATCCCCTCCAGCATCTGTTACTAGATTTCTTGAGTATAGCCATTCTAACTGGGATGAGGTAGAATTTCAATATTGGTTTTGATTTGCATTTCTTTTATGATCAGAGATGTTGACCATTTCTTTATATGTCTATTGGCCATTCTTACTTCCTCTTCAGAGAAGTCTCTTTGTAAGTCTTTAGCCTACTTAAGTTCTTAGTAATGTAAAAGCACCTATCCTAAGAATTTATAATCATAAGCTTTTGAGTTTTAACTACCTATATGGTCTAAGAGATGCTAAATCAAGAGATTAAAGGTAGTACTCTTTATTTCCTTAGGAGAAAGACATGCAGATTCCTTTATGGAAGAACCTGTTTAACCTAGGCTACCCAGGATTCCCACAGATAAAATTACTCCAAACATTAGTTTTTAATTAAAAATTTTGAAACATACAGGGAAACACTCCAGGATTAAGCAAGAGTCATCAAACCAAAATTATAATTCAATAACTTCATTTAGTTTTCAAGTAGAGACTACAGAACACGCACCTATGTTTAAAGAATCAAAAGGAGTTAAGAACATAGGAAAATAAGACAATTTTAAAATATAATTATAAAATACAATTTTAAAGAGCAAACTTTTTTGAGAAAAGCATAGAAATGAAAAATGTGCTCATTGATATTTAAGTGAACAGATTAGGAATCAGATTACTCATAACTGAATAGAGAGTCAGTGAACTGAATTACAGACCTGAAGAAATCCTTGGAATGCAGCAGATGGGATGAATGAAATAAGAATTATAACTTAGAAATTAGTTGGATGGAATGAGAGGGTAGAATGAGAAAGACTAACTGAACTCAGACTTCTATAAGAAGATAATAGATTAGAAGACTAGATGAGAATTGTCAGGGTATGAATTCTCATGTGGGTAATAAGAAGTATAAAATATTAAAGTACAGCTTGGATTTTAGCATATATAGCTAAACTATAGCATGGTTTAGCTTCTCTTAGACCATATAGGTAGTTAAACTCAAAAGCTTATGATTATAAATTCTTGGGATAGGCACTTTTTCATTACTAAGAGCTTAAGTGGGCTAAATAAAGTAAGAGAGGCTTCTCTGAAGCACAAATAAGAATGGCCAATAGACACATGAAGAAATGCTCAACATCTCTGACCATGGAATACCAATACCAATAGTAATAGCTATCACATTTTTTTAAATGTGTTAGTGCTTTCATGTATTTATTTACTTCATGTTCAAAACAGTACAGTGAGAAAACTGTGATCTTCATTCTTCAGATGAAGAAACTAAGATAGCTGTAGTATAAAGAGATTAAATATTTTGCACAAGGTTAAGCAGCTAGTAAGTAGTAAAAGGAAAAAAATCAGCTGCATCTTCACAGACCATACGGATCATTTTATTTCACTAATATGAAAAACAAATTAATGACTCTTCCATAGACAAATGTAGGTAAATATTGAGTCTTTTTTTTTTTTTGTCAGTCATGGGGCTTGAACTCTGGGCCTGGGCACTGCCCCTCAGCTCTTCAGATCAAGGCTAGCACTCTATCACTTGAGTCACAGCATCACTTCTGGTTTTCTGTTGGTTTATTGGAGATAAGAGTCTCACGCAGGCTGGGAAGGTGGGTAGAGTGCTTGCCTTGCATGCATGCGGCCCTGGGTTTGTTTCCTCAGCACCACCTAAACAGAAAAAGCTGGAAGTGGCGATGTGGCTCAAGTGGTAGAATGCTAGCCTTGAGCTGGAGAACTGAGGGACAGTGCCAAGGCCCAGAGTTCAAGCCCCACAACTGACAAAAAGATAAAAAAAGAAAAGAAAAAAGGAAAAAGAGTCAGGACGATCCTGCCTGGCCTGGCTTTGAACTGTAATCCTCAAATCTCAGCCTCCTGAGTAGCTAGGATTACAGGCATGAGCCACCAGCGCCTGGCTTAAATATTGAGTCTTAAGAAAGATTAAGATGGAGGGTGTGACACTGAACAAGATGCATTGTATACATAATTTGACATGTTAAATTGAAACCCCATTGTAGAACTATTTGAGGATAATAAAAAATTAATAAAAAAGTGATTAGTCATTACAGGAGATTTTAAAGTAGGATGGAGTAAAAATATAGTTTATTCATTATTGTTTACTGTCTTTAATTATCACTCAAGGAAGCATAAAGAATGAATTTCAAGCCTTGGTTTAATTTCTAGGCATAGCTTATAAGAGAAATGCTTCCTTAATTTAAAAAATATCAGTGAACATATTTCCCATCTTTTACCATCTTCTCATTTTTTTCCTCTTCTTTTTTTTTTTTTTAACAGAATGAAAGCCTTGGTCAAGGCACTTTTACAAAAATTTTTAAAGGCTTAAGAAGAGAAGTAGGAGACTATGGCCAATTACATGAAACAGAAGTTCTCTTAAAAGTTTTGGATAAAGCACATAGAAATTATTCAGAGGTATGTATATTCTTTGGGTAGTTAATGTAGTTTATGCCATATAAATATGTGTTCTCATGTGCACATAGTATTCATGCATGAAGCATTTCAAAATATTGTAATTTAAATGTCTATCAAGACCTTTCTGAGACTTCTGATATGGCTGTAGAAAATTACAAGATTTTACAATAATGTTTCTAAACTATTTTTAGAATTTTATTATGAGTATTATTAAATCTCAATTTTATACTGTAGCAGCTGCTTTTAAACATGGCTTCCCAGGATTTTATGGTTTCATAGAGGTGCCTTTACAGTTTGGTCTATTTAAAAAGAAAAAGTGTATATGACACTGTAGTTAGGAACACTGAATGAAATGCGGATGACTCTGACTTTGAGAATCATCTAGAGATACAACACAAGTTCATGATCTTTATGATGTCTTAAAAGGAGGTTAATGGAAGAGGATATGAAACAAGCAAGATGAGGAGTTCTAATCTAGAGCATGAAAGTGCTAGTGATTATGATCATCTGAACGATCGTAACCAGAAGTTCTAGTCAACGATTGGTTGAGTTAGAATGATGTTAATACTATGAGAGCATCCTGATACAAGTTTCATACTTTATCTGTGCAAAAGCTATTCTTAGTTATTGAGGAACCATTATTTATTTATTTATTTATTTTTGGGTCCGGTCGTGGGGCCTGAACTCTGGGCGTGGGCGCTGTCCCTCAGCTCTTCAGCTCAAGGCTAGCGCTCTACCGCTTGAGCCACAGCGCCACTTCCGGCTTTTTTTCTTTTTGCTTATGTGGTGCTGAGGAATGGAACCCAGGGCCTCAGGCATGCAAGGCAAGCGCTCTATCACGGAGCCACCTCCCCAGCCCCTGAGGAACCATTATTTAGAGTTTATATTAATCTATCTCAATCTCTTATCATGATATGAATTGTCTACCTCTAGTTGTTACTCAGTAACTATTCTAGGTGTTACAGTCTAAGCCTGTTTGACTTGCATTATTCATGCTGTGCTCAGCCACTATTGCTGTCTCTCAGTGCTATCTCCACATTTCACATTTACTAAGAGATTTCCTCAGAATAAACCCAAACATCAAGGTTGATGCCACTTGCAAGTCCATATTAAGGGACCGAAGCATATTGTAACCTGCTAAGAGTAGAAGAAAGTGCATTTCTTTTATGACAATGAATATCTTCTTTATCTCTGTATATTTATAAATAAGTAAAACAATAATTCTTAACATTATTTTTCTTTTCCTTAGTCATTCTTTGAGGCAGCAAGCATGATGAGCCAACTTTCTCACAAGCATTTGGTTTTAAATTATGGAGTATGTGTCTGTGGAGAGGAGAGTAAGTAAAACACTGGCTTTTTATGTTAATACCATGTCTTTTTCAGAGAATCTATGGTTGTTTATATAAACAATTCAATTTCAGGGTACAGGGATCGATGTAAACAGTACTTTATTGCAAATTAGATATCCTTGAACTTAACAGCATTATATGATTATTCAGTTACATCTTACACAAAAAAGTGGTGAAATTTAAAACACAGAAATCACTTAATGCCCAAGTGCTAGAGTATTATTATAACAAATGTACAGCTTTTTTTTTCACCATAGTAGTGTATATTATGGTGGTTAAGCTTAATATTTGAGCAGTGGCTCTTTCCATACACACTTATTTGAAATTAGGAGGTTATAGCATATAGTCGACAGACTGAATTAGCAGTTGATCTGATTGAAATGATTGTATACTGCTATTAGATATAGTCTCCAGGTATATTGGAGTAATTATATATTATATTACATTGTACTCTGTATAGTAAAATGTATGTTGTATATTTTACATGTAATTATATATTCTGTATTTAATTGTTTATTCCTGCATCACATCATGAATAAATATAAACTTAATGTACATGGTGTAAATCCATTATGCTTTTAAATGAATTTTGTTTAATTTCTTTACCCATAGTATTTGCATGCAACATAAATGTACTTATAAAAAGTTTGAATTTTATGTTTAAATAAATACATATAATGCATATGCTTAAGACTTATTATTATCTATATTTTAATACAGATATTTTGGTTCAGGAGTTTGTAAAATTTGGATCATTAGATACATATCTGAAAAAGAACAAAAGTTCTATAAATATATTATGGAAACTTGGAGTGGCTAAGCAGTTGGCATGGGCCATGCATTTTCTAGTAAGTAATTAGTATTTTGTTTTTGCCAAAACTTGCTTTATCTTATGAGCAATGTAGAAATTATTTTGTCCTAGCACTAAGAAACAAGTCTTTGAATAGATGCCAAGTCATTCAAAACAATCTGTTAGGTGTTAAAAAGGGATTACTTCAGGAATATGTTTATTTATGTAAAATCTGTTTGGAAAGGAATAGCTTTGTCATCCCACCAATCTCCTCTTGATAGACAATCTGTAGTTTTTAACATTTGGGGTTAGCAAATTTAGCCAAAAAATATTTGGAAAAATGTTACGCTACTGTGGATAGCAGAAAATGCCTTATTATGATATTTGAGGGCAATTGGACATTATGGTCAGTGAGAAGGCAGAATTGACAAAAAAGCAGAGTACTGGAATGACAGCCAGTTATCCTACCCCTCGAGTAAACCTATGGCTGCTGAGCTGAAGGTAATATTTCCTAATGTCAGCTGCCATCTAGAAAGACTTACCATTTAGAATTTCAGCTCTGAGAAGAAGAGTAATACTGGGTAGATTTAACTTACTCACTTCATTATGATGGATTATTGTGTCATTTAAAGGCTAAGCCAGGAAATTTTCTGCTATTATCTCAAAACATGCCTCTAAGTTAATATTTGTATGTTGTCTTATTTATATTCTTTATTCTGTCTTGGAGCTTTAAACATGAAATGTTCAAATATTTGTGAGTTGATACTTGAATATACATGCATTTAACTTTAATAGGAAGAAAAAAACATTATTCATGGGAATGTATGTGCCAAAAATATTCTACTTATCAGAGAAGAAGACAGGAAGACAGGAAATCCTCCTTTCATCAAACTTAGTGATCCTGGCATTAGCATTACAGTTTTACCAAAGGACAGTAAGTTCTACAGGGATTTCATTTAACTTCATTAAATTTTACTTGGGTAGTAACATAAAAAGCATGTTCAGTTTTCCTTGAACTTTCTATTACTCATGTGCTCTTGATTAATAATGTTTATCTGGCACTTGTAGCAATTTCAATTAAGTTACAGGTACATCCTGGTCTCTGTCCTTCTTTCTTAGAGACATGTCATCATTGACTTGAGATAATTTTTAAAAACAATTTTATCCCTAGTTATGTGTGGAAGATGTAGTTTCATTTATTTTTACATTATATTTTCTCAAATTGTTCTTAAACTGTTTGAAAAAATGTATCAAGCCCCTAGAACTTATTCAGCTAATTCTGATGTTTTAAAAGTTGCTTTAAAAAACCTTCTTACATCTGTTAATTTTGTTAGACATAATAACCTAAAAGTAAAATTTTCAGTTGAATAGTTTTTGGAGAGTCCAAACGACATTGCTATTTCACTATCTGAGCTATTTTTTTTTTTTTTCTAATTGAATGTTCTAAATGTAGACTCTTAAAATCAGTTTATGCATTGACATACAGTATTCTATTTGAGACTATGATACTTGGTACCTTATCCAACAGTGAAGACTATATTATGACAGTTATAAAGAAGAAATCTTGCACAATCTTAGACCCACTACTTGTGGAAATTTGCTTTATTTGAATAGAAAATAAATATATTTGCTTGGTAAAAGAGAAAAAACTCAGTGTTCTTTTTAATATTTATTTATTTATTTATTTATTTTTGTGGTACTACTAGGGCCTGAGCTGAGAGCTTAGACTCTTGCTTAGCTTTTTTGCTCAAGGCTGACATTTTACTATTTGAACCACACCCCTGCTGCCCTAATGCCTTGTTTATACAGCAAAATATTTGTATTACTTTACTGAAACATACTAAAATATATTGCAGATTATCCCTCATATTCATTGATGTGTGTCAGAATACCTGGAAGTCAGAGTTCTTTTGCTTCTTTTTTCTTTGATTACTATCTTTGTAGTGCTATAATGACCCTTAGAAACTTCATTTGGGAAATTCCATTATCTGAGCAGTATCAATTCTACACCCGTAGTACCTCAAAATAATTTCATCGTTCATCTGCCATAATGATAAATGCCTGTGGAGCTTGCTCATCTTCAAGTTATAATAGCCACTGCTATTAAGTTATTAAAATTTTTGTCACCATTAGTTTTACTACTTACGTATTGTAAAAAAAATGTTGAGAGATAGCTTCAGGACAAAGTTTGTAAATGGAGATGTGGCAGGATTAATGGGAAGGTGTAGAGAAGGTGATATGCCAGTTGAGACACTATTGTGTAATAGAAGTAAGTTTAGTTGTGTGAAATTTATTGTACAAGATTCTAATTCTATCATGCTGCTAACAAATTGTGTGACTTTAAGCAAATTAATGTTTTTATGCCTTTCCATGCCTTATTGTTAAAACTGAGTGAATTAGACAAACCAAAAGCTCTTAAGTTTATCTAAACATAATCGGGGTAGTCCTTCTCTAATAATAAAAAAAGACTTGCTGAGTGTGAAAATTATTTGCCTATAGAATAATGGTGTTGTGGAGGTTATGTATCTATCTTTTGTTCTGTTATTTATAAGTTCTTCAGGAGAGAATACCATGGGTACCACCTGAATGCATTGAAAATCCTAAAAATCTAAATTTGGCAACAGACAAATGGAGTTTTGGTACCACTTTGTGGGAAATCTGCAGTGGAGGAGATAAACCTCTGAGCGCTCTCGATTCTCAAAGAGTAAGTTAATACAGGCTATGGAGGTAGAAAAACTTTGTGGTCCTTTATATTTCTTTCACATGATTTGGTATTTCTTAGCCCACCTCATTTTAACGAGAAAGTTTATGCAGTTTATAGAAAGTTTAACAGTATTATAAAGTTTATTGTCAGTTTTTTGTTCTTTAACTATAGAAGCTTCAGTTCTATGAAGATAGGCACCAGCTTCCTGCACCAAAGTGGACAGAATTAGCAAATCTTATAAATAATTGTATGGATTATGAATCAGATTTCAGGCCTTCTTTCAGAGCCATTATACGGGACCTTAACAGTTTATTTACTCCAGGTATGTATAGTTGGAGAGAACCTATTGATCCCTTATCTTTCTATCTTTGTTGTATTTTTACTAGTTTTGCCACCTTTCCAAGATGTTCTTTGATGTCTTCTAAGACCTTTTAATTTCTTGTACTGATACAACTTCTCATACTTTGTGTATTTTTTTGTTTTTAAAAAGGCCCTTTTCTCCTTCAGTAACCTAATTTTATTTACTCATTTGTTCCTTTAAATGAAAAAAAAACACAATTTATGCCTATGGAAGGGAATTTTGAGACTCCAGCCTGTTTTTAGTTTTCCAGTTAATGAGAAGCGTGTTTATTTGGCTGAATTGACTTTGTAATAACAACTCTTTATTGTTTACTCGATTTTTGACTTCTTAATAACAACTCTATTTTATAATTAATTTTCTAAACATGAGGTAGACTTGTTTGTTCTAACCTCCTTTTAGATATTGAGCTAAAGTTATGTAGGTATTTAATAAGTGCTTCAGTACTGTTCATTATAACCTTTGTGAATATTAAAACTATATTTTAGGAAAGTAATCATCCTTTGCAAGATTTTTCTTAAGAACCTATCAGGTTATGAGAAATAAAGTTCCCATTAATATAATCTATAAGCTGGTTTTAGTTTTTCTATATCACTTAGTGTTTCTAACTCATTGTGATTATTTTATCAACTTGAATATGTATGATTTCACCCGAAGAATGTATTTGCCAACCTAAGATAATTATATTCTTTATTTGTCTAGATTATGAACTATTAACAGAAAATGATATGTTACCAAACATGAGGATAGGTGCTCTAGGGTTTTCTGGTGCTTTTGAAGACAGGGACCCTACACAATTTGAAGAGAGACACTTGAAATTTCTACAGCAACTTGGGAAGGTAAATTATCGCAAGTTTTTCAAATAGAGTACGGTCATACAACCCTTTATTCAGGAAGATGAAAAGACTTTAGACAATCCTTTTCTTTTTTATCGTTAGTAGAAAGGTGATGAGGGGATTACAGTTATGTAAGTCAGGTAATGAGTACCCTTCGTTTTGGACAGTGTCACCCTTTGCCTCGCTCTCTCCCAGTTTTTCCCTCCCGTGTCTACCCATAAGTTGTATAGTTCCATTTTCAGGTTAGTGTCTAATGACTGCTCCATTTTTTCACCCTTTGTCTCTCCATTTCTGTTTCCCCCTCTTGCCCTTTTTAAGACAGATAAATGAACAAACAAGACAAAAGAAAAGAAAAGAAAACCCACAACAAAGAAAAAATCTTGTTTCCATTTCCTGGAGTTCATTTAGATAAATATTACTTTATCTGATCAGATGCACATAGGCACTGAGCCTTTGTGTTCCTCTCCTGAGGAAATCTTCCTTCCGTCTCACTGTGTGCAAATATCTAGAGGCTTTGAAGAATCTTAGGCTGGGAAGATGGCTCAGTGGTAGAGCGCTTGCCTTGCATGCATGAGGCCCTGGGTTCGATTCCTCAGCACCACATAAGCAAAAAGAAAAAAGCCGGAAGTGGCACTGTGGCTCAAGTGGTACAGCGCTAGCCTTGGGCTGAAGAGCTGAGGGACAGTGCCCAGGCCCAGAGTTCAGACCCCACGACCGGATCCAAAAAAAAAAAAAATCTTTAAAAATTCATTTTTGACCATTCTAAGGGTTATCTGTAGAAAAAAAGGCTTGTCAGATATTAGAGAAATTTTGTATTACATAAGCAACTTTCATTGCAGAAGAACATCTCAGAGCCTGTCACACATAATGTACATTGAACATCTTCAAGAGGATGATAAAGGAGGCAATACTTCACAAATTGCTATGACCATGGGACTCTTGCTTGACAGGAGTTTGTAGTTCATGATGTGTGACTTAGTGAAGCAGAGAAAGGAATACTCAAATATTTCTGCCTGTCCTTAGACATCTCAGGGGAAAAAAAAAATCCTCTGATTGCTTGCTGCCTAGGACATTGACTGGAGAAAGTTCACTAAGACAGCCTCCGGCAAGGTCATGATAGCCTGTAGGTTGTAAGCAAGGCCAGAAAAGGCTCATTTTAGAAGGTGTAACCACAGTATTACTCTCTCCCTTCTTCCTCTAAGCTTGCTTGCATAAGTATAAGCTTCCAGATTATTTATTGTTATGAAGTAGATTTTGGCATAGATATAAAAGGTCTCATTTAGGCCTTAAAATTAAACTATAAGTTCCAAATTGAGCTTCCCTAGAGCTAAACATTGGAGGTTATACTAAAATATTGGCATAGCCATATTAATACTTTGCTCATTTATCTTTGTTTAAAAAATACTCTTGGTTATCTTTGAAGTAATGTAGCAATGAGAACAAAAAGTTCAGATATCTTGGGTGTATTAGGTGTATTGGTGTGTAACAAATTACCCTTAACAGCCAAAAGCAATACTTAATTATCTTCAGTTTTTTGAGTCAGGAATCTAGGAAGCTGTTTAACTCAGGGGAAAAGATATAAAACCCTTAATTTCTCAGTGTTAAATTTTAAGATATTATTTTACAGTAATTTCTGAAAAATATCAGTTTGAGATAGATATTTTACTGTCTCTATTTTAGGGAGGAAAAAAATAATGATGTTCAGAAAGGGAATAGAACTTCCCAAGGTCACAATGAGATGAATTAGTGAACCAAAATTCTAGCTCTGTTCTGTTTGGCCTGAGTCCTAGGTCTTATCCACCTTGTGTCCTTCCAAACTATAGTTTAGGTTTTAAAGAAGATTTCAAGTACATAACAGGAAATAAAGTTGCTCAAGATCTACATTCCTAGAGAATTCAATAATATCTTAAATACACTAATTGGGATTAATACCAAAACCCTATACTTGACTTTAAGTGTTAGGTATCAGCTTACCAATCCTATGTAGATGTCTTTTTTTTTTTTTTTTTTTATTTAATTTTATTTGAGAACATACTGTACAGAGGGGTTACAATTACATGGGCAGGATAATGCATACATTTCTTACCAAGCATTGCAGCCTCCTCCTTTGTTTACCCTTCACCTCCCTTCCCAGCCTCCCCCCTCCCCCCCACCCAATCATACCCCCCCCCCCCACCGACATTGTAAAGCTGGTTTTGACATGACATTTTGTACTTTGTAGATAAGTCTTAAGAGTAAATTTCCTTAAAAACTGACCTCAAATGTATTTCTTTCTCTCTTTCTCTCTCTCTATTCCATATATATACATATGTATGTATATCTATATATATTCCATAGTCTAAAAATGCCTTCTTTTTTTTTTCTTTTGTGCTGGTTACCTAGGGCTTGAACTCAAGGCTTGGATGCTGTGTCTGAACTTTTTTATTCAAGGCTAATACTCTCTATTTGAGCCACAGCTCTACTTCCAGGTTATTTTGGTAGTTAATTGGAGTTTTACAGGCTTTTCTGCTTGGGCTGGCTTTGAACGTCAGTCCGCAAATCTAAGCCTCCCTGAGTAGCTAGGAATCACAGGCTTATGCCACTGCCTCCTGTCTTAAAATACCTTAATTTCTTAAAGCAGACTATTGACTATATATTAGTTTTATTGGGCTACCATAATAAAATGCCATAGAATGGTTGACTTAAACAAGCATTATTAGTTTTCACAGTTCTAGAGGCTCAAAAGTCATAAGATCAGAGACCTATCAGGGTTTGGTTTCTAGTGAAGACTTTTTCTAGCTCTGTTTCTGTTTTTTAGCCTAACCATAAGGCATTAGAACCTCACTCTTATGTCTTAATTTAACATTTATCACTCCTACATAAGGCTCTATTTCCAAGCCACATTGGGAATTAGAATTTCGTCATAAACATTTTAGGGGGACACAGTAGTCCATAATAGACCCTCACTGTTAATGATGTCAAAGGGAATATTGTAAAGAAGAAAAGTTCTTCCTGACAGTGAGTGATAAAAATTTAGGGATCCTCTAGCATTACTCTTGTATTAGTAAATGATTCATCATTTGTATGAATGCATTTTTCAAGTAATTTATATTTCAGTATATAATTCTTTTGAAGAAGTTAAGTTTTATATACCAACTTGTTGAAATCATGCCATTTTCTTGCTCTAAAACTTGCCAAATAAAAGCTTAGTGATATGCCTATTACTTCTAGCTCTTGAGACTTCATATATAATTAGCATTAGTAATTTTATTTTGAAAAACTCAAGTCTTCTAACCGACGTATTGTGTTGTTTAGGGTAATTTTGGAAGTGTGGAAATGTGCCGATATGACCCTCTGCAGGACAACACTGGGGAGGTAGTGGCTGTTAAAAAGCTCCAGCACAGTACTGAAGAGCACCTCAGAGATTTTGAAAGGGAAATTGAAATCTTGAAATCCCTGCAGCATGACAACATTGTCAAGTACAAAGGAGTGTGCTACAGTGCTGGTATGTTGCCTATAGAAACTGTTAAATTCAAATGGTAATGGAAACATAAAACTATTTGAAGATCTGGGCTTAGCATATGCCAATACCAGAGAGATGTTCTAAATGACTGGAGATGCAGTGTAGTGATAGTAGGCTCAGGAAATCTTTAGCTGGTTAACCAGTCATTCTCCTTACCACTTTTTCCAGAGTATACTTTTAACAAGCATATACTTTTTTTAAAAAAAGAAATGATATTTCCTTATATTTTTAATGAAAATATTTTTAGAAGAGATACACTTGTTTAGTATAAATGAGGAGAAAAGAAAGGTTTATTAGTTAAGCTGAAAGAGTTACAGAAGTCTAAAACTTTTAAAGCTTTTTTAAAAAAATAACTGGTGTTTTAGTTAAAATCATCACTAAATCTTAAAGCATAAAAATAATTTCTAGCAGTATGAAATGATCATTATTTTATTTTGAAAGCCTGCCAAGCAAAATCTCACATTTATCTCCCATTTCAGTATTTTCACAGTCTTTGGACTAGCGAAGATTAAAACTGAGTTCAGAGCTACTTTCTCTTGAAAGCCCTTCTAACAGGCACTATCAATTTACAAAAATAACAGATGCATACCAGTGTCTTTTGTCTGTACTTACTGAAGTTTGCTTTCCATTGTGATGGTCTAGAGGTTAAAGACTTAAATGAAAAAACTTAAACAGTTGTTTTCATTTGATTTTTATTATAAATGTGTAAAAAGTAATTGTATTAATTAATGTCTCATTTCTGATGAAAAAGAAAAAGTTTGTGTTCTAAACAACTAATTACTTTTCACTTGTAATAAAGATTTATCATCTTATATTCATGTATGCATATATATGTGTGTATACATATATATGTCTTTTATATATGCTTTTTCCCAAATTTCATCAGTAAAATATAATAAAGTAGTAACGTATTATGTTCTGTTTGTGTATTAAAAGGCCGGCGTAATTTAAGATTAATTATGGAGTATTTACCTTATGGAAGTTTACGAGACTATCTTCAAAAACATAAAGAACGGATAGATCACAAAAAACTTCTGCAGTATACGTCTCAGATATGCAAGGTATCTAACATCCTAGTTATTTGTTGTGGACCAAATGAGCTTGTTGAACTAATTTAGAAATCCTGTAAACTTTTCCTTAGCTAATAAAAGGAATTAAAGGAACAAGACCATTTAAATCATGCTTATACAACTACAAGAAAAATTTTATTTTCTCCACAGGGTATGGAGTATCTTGGTACGAAAAGATACATCCACAGGGATCTGGCAACAAGAAATATATTGGTAGAGAATGAGAACAGAGTTAAAATTGGAGATTTTGGATTAACTAAAGTCTTGCCACAAGACAAAGAGTACTATAAAGTGAAAGAACCTGGTGAAAGTCCCATATTCTGGTGAGTACAGTATTTTTCAACAAAATAAAATATAATCATATAACACAAAGTTCACTTTTCTTATTATTTTTGACTATACAGTATTAATGCTTAATAATAGTAAACATTTTATGGGTTATTTTATATTTAATCCTCATAACAACCTTTGGAGTATATGTTATTATTATTACAGATTGAGTCCCAAACTGAAAATTCAAAATACTCTGAAATCTAAACATGTCATTTACATGATGCTCAAGTTGTTTCAGATTTTGGAGCATTTGACTCATTTAGTTATAAAAATATTTCCCAGACCTGGGTGCTGGTGGCTGATGTCTGTAAGCCTAGCTACTCAGTAGGCTGAGGTCTGAGGATCATGATTCAAAGCTAGCCCAGGCAGAACAGTCCCTGAGACTTTTATCTCCGGTTAATCAACAGAAAGCTGAAAGTGGAGTTTTGGCACAAGGGTAGAGTTCTAACTTTGAGCAAAAGTGAGGCAACATTCAGCATCTAAGCCCTAAGCCCCAGAACTGGCACCAAAAAAAATATTTCCAAACCACATGATATATTTATACATATACATATAAATATGCATACATGTATATATATGTAAAAACTATATAGTGGAATATGATGAAAATTATCTGCTAGCTGGCAGTCTGTTTCTTTTTTTATATGGGGTCTGAACTCAGGCCCTCATACTTCTAGTTGGGGTACTATACCATTTGAGCCACATGTCATCCCTTTTTAGCTTTTATTATTTTTCAGGTAAGGTTTCACATTTCTTCTCAGTTCACAATTCTACCTATACTATGATACCCACCTAGATGAGATCACAGACACGCATGACTGAGCTATTTATTGATATGGTAGGAGATCTCATTAATTTTGCCTGGCTGGCATTAAACCTCAATCCTCCCCGTCTCCTCCTCGGCTAGTCTTTGGGGTTACAGGCATGACCTATCACATCTGGCCATTCCTTTTCGATTTTACTGAAAAAAAGATGAAAGATGCATTTTACTCATCTACTGACTTGTTGAATTAAAACTCCTTAGTACAATTAATTAAAACAAAAAAAAACGAGAGGAAAAGCTTCTACTTAAGTAGTTTTAAATATTGAAGCATAGTTTCAGGATGCATAGAGCATCCTTCTTCTTTTTTTTTAATTGTGGAGCTTGAACGCAGGGCCTGGGCATTGTCCCTGTGCCTTTTCCTTTTAAGGCTAGTGCTCTCTCACTTTGAGTTATAGCACCAGTTCCTGTTTTCTGGTGGTTAATTGGAGATAAGAGCCTCATGGATTTTATTGCCTGCCAGAGGATCCTTATTTTGTTCTTACTACAGAGTACCATTTGGGCAATCTTTATGCCATCCGGGTTACTTTGCAGCTGGTTTGCCAATCTCCATAGTGGTCATAAGGATCTAAGGAATTGGTAGCTCATTAGACATTGAAATGAAGAGTAAAAAAAATAATTCTTAAGATTTTCAGCTTGGTATAGTCCTAGCTACTTAGAATTGAGAGATCATCATGGTTCTAGTCCAACCTGGGCCAAAAGAAGTTCATGAAACTTCATCTTAGCTACCGAGGAAGCACAGTGGTTTCATATAATGGCATATGCCTGTCATTCTGGGACATGGGGAAACAAAGATAAAGATTGAAGCCCAGGCTGGCCTGAGAATAAACCAATGACCTACTTTGAAAATAGCTATCCAAAAAGAGGCTGTTATAGTATCTGCACAGCAAGTAGGGGCCCTGAGTTTATTCTCCAATACTGGGAAAAATAAAAATAAAAATCAAACAGATTTTGACACTAATGATTGTATAAGGAAAGTAAAATAATTAGCAATATTTGGAAAGGTGGGAATGGTGTTCTGTTTGCCTTTAGACATTTAATGTGAAAATGTTGGGTATGTCTGGAGAATTAAAGATCAAAACCATGGTTATAAATTCAGGAATCTTTAGTATTTAGGTGGATGATACTATCTAAGGAAAAGTTTCTTTAAATGAGAGAAGAGTGAGTCACTTTTGTTTCAGGAATTATAGAAAGTGCATGAAAGCCACTACTCAAAAGTCAGCATTTTAAGGAAGCTCTTCTGAGGATAGCAGCCTGATTTCTGATATGTTGATGTTTCACAACTTTTTTTGTAATACAATGGTATTTTTTTATTTGTTGGTTGGTTGGTGTATTTTTATGTCGATACTGGAGCTTGAACTCAGGGCTTCATGCTCCTGATTGGGTTTTTTGCTCAAGGCTGGCACTTTGCGACTTGACACACCTCCACTTCTGGTTTTTTGGTTTTGGCTTTTTTTTCTGGCCTCTGGTTTTGAACCTTAGTTCTCATATTTCAGCCTCTTGAATAGCCAGAAATGCAGGCTTGAGGCACCAGTACCTTGTTTAATCAATAGTTTTTTAAATAGAATACTATCCAAGAGAGTTTTGGCCTGTGGCTAATGAATATCTTGTTTCCGTTATTGCGTTTACTTTTATTACAGAGATGGCTATAGAGATCTGTTTTTAGACTGATGAGTTTAAAAGTATATATACATATATATATATATATGTATGTATATATATATATATATACATATATAAACTCTATAAACAATATCTCCAAGAGATTAAAAATCAAGAGTTGGCACATCAAATAACTTTTAAATGTTCTTTATGAATTACAGGTATGCTCCAGAGTCACTGACAGAGAGCAGGTTTTCTGTGGCCTCAGATGTTTGGAGTTTTGGAGTGGTTTTGTATGAACTTTTCACATATATTGAGAAGAGTAAAAGTCCACCAGTGGTCAGTATATTATACTTTTTATTTCACCATCACCTTTGCTTTTTGGAAAGGCTTTATCAAAAGAATAAGTCATGAGCTAATTTTCAAGCCTCTTATTGCTTATTTAAAGGCAGTTTTCATCAAAACCACTAAGTTTATTCACTAAATTTAATTTTCTTAATGAAGAAGGGTTTTATAGCACTATGTGGTGTATTTATAGCACTGTGTGGTGTATTAGTACATTTTCTGTTACTATAACAAATGATCTGATACTGAGTACCTTGTAATAAAAAGCAATTTATTTAACTCATTGTTTTTGGAGACTGAAAGTTCAGTATCAAACCATCTTGTCTGTTCCAGCCTCCTGTGGAGGACCTGTTTGCTGAATCGCAACATAACAGATAGGTAGGCAAAAAGATAATTAGCATGCCGAAGCAAGCATATTGCAACACTTGAAGCTAGAGAGCCAGAAGGAGTCAGTCTTGTTCTTTCTGTAAAGTAGTTTGTTCTGTTGAGAACTGACACACTCTATGACATTAGCATTAATCTCTTTTAATCCCATTCCCAATGGGAATTTGACCTCATTACTTTACCCTAGGGTAAAGCTTTACCCTAGGGTAAAGCTCTTCTGAGGATAGCAGCCTTATTTCTGCTATGTTGATGTTTCACAACTTTTTTGTAATACAATGGTATTTATTTATTTATTGGTTGATTGGTGTATTTTTGTGCCAGTACTGGAGCTTGAACTCAGAGCCTCATGTTCCTGATTGGCTTTTTTGTGAAGGCTGCATACAAACATTTAGAAAAAGGCTACCTCCAAACTATTATTCTCTTATTAATATTTTAAGTATGTTTGGTAAGCTCCTTCATTCTAGAACTTACAAAATTCAGAATAAATCTTTCTACCTAAATTTTACTGTTCAATATAGATTTCTTTCAATATAGAAAAATATGAAAAAATGAAAATCATTCCTGATATAGTTACTCAAAGGCAACCATGTTAACATTGTGATATTTTCCTCTATGTTTTTCCAAATTTTAAATAAGAGAGTGAATTTTCATGAAAAAATAGTTTCATAAAATTAATATCATGCTATGTAGTTTTCTATCTTCCCATTTCATTAAGTATTACATTTATGAATATTTTACTATATTAGTAAATCTTTACTACATATATTATTTCTAATTGTTGGACAACATTCCATTATAGTTATATATTTCTAGTTTTATATATAATCATTTTCTATTTTCACTCATTCTATATAACATTTCAGTGAACATTCTTAACATAAATATTTATGTTTATCACTGGCTATCATGTAAGTAAGAATAAATGTAAAGAAAATAAATATAATGAACAAAAATAAAGATATAGGTTATAGGTGAGAGGTAATGGACTGGTAAAGACTTTGATGATTTCAAAATAATTTCTAGAAAGCTATACAAGATTATATATAAATAATAGTGCAGGGCTGGGAAGGTGGCTCAATGGTAGAGCACTTGCCTTGCATGCATGAGGCCCTGGGTTCGATTCCTCAGCACCACATAAGCAAAAAGAAAAAAGCCGGAAGTGGCACTGTGGCTCAAGTGGTAGAGCGCTAGCCTTGAGCTGAAGAGCTGAGGGACAGAGCCCAGACCCAGAGTTCAGGCCCCATGACCGGACCCCCCCCCCAAAAAATAAATAAAAAATAAATAAATAATAGTGCATAATGGGTGTATCATTTGCCATGTTAACCATTACATTTTTAGGATATTTTGCCAAATTGATATGAAATAAGTTATATTTAATTTGTACTTTTTGTAAGTATGATTGAATGTGTATTATCAAATCACTGAAAAGTAGACTTGTATTTCAGGAGTTTATGCGTATGATTGGTAATGATAAACAAGGACAGATGATTGTATTCCATTTGATAGAACTTCTGAAGAACAATGGAAGATTACCAAGACCAGATGGATGCCCAGATGAGGTAACAAGTTTTTTTTTGTTTTGTTTTGTGTTGTTTTTTTTTTTTTTGGTGGTGTGTGTGTGTGTGTGTGTGTGTGTGTGTGTGTGTGTGTGTGTGTGTGTGTGTGTGTGTGTGCTTGCATACACGTTGATCCTAGGGCTGAACTCAGGGCCTGGGTTCTGTCCTTGAGCTTCTGAGCTCAAGGCTAGCATTATATCATGGCTTCACTTTGGTTTTTTTTTGGTTCTTAATTGGAATTAAAATTATCATGGGCTGCAGGACACACTAGTGGCTCATGCCTGTAATCCTAGCTACTTAAGAGGCTGAGATCTGAGGATTGAGGTTTGAAGGCAGCCCAGGCAGAACAATGCCCATGAGACCCTTTTCTTCAGTTAACCATTCATAAAACCAAAAGTGGAGCTGTGGCTCAAAGTGGTAGAGTGTGATCCTTGAGCTTAGGGACTCACTCGGGCCATGATGTCAAGCCTCTCAACTGAAAAAATAAAAGTCTCATGAGCTTTCTTTCCGGGACTGGCTTTCAATTGTGATTCCCAGATCTAGGGCTTCTGACTATCTAGGATTACAGACTTGAGCCACCAACACCCAGCTAATGATTTTTTAAGTCCATAGCAATCATGCACGATCTTTTCCTTTTTACTCAGAGATCATTGAAATTACTGAGCACTTAGATAAATAACATAACCAAGTCATTGTGAATCAAGATTTAATTATGACACATGCCCAGTATTAGAAAATCAAGTGGGAGCCGGGCGCCAGTGGCTGACGCCTGTAATCCTAGCTACTCAGGAGGCTGAGATCTGAGGATCGCGGTTCAAAGCCAGCCCGGGCAGGAGAGACCGTGAGATGCCTATCTCCAATAAACCACTAGAAAACCGGAAGTGGTGCTGTAGCTCAAGTGGTAGAGCACTCGCCTTGAGCTGAAGAGCTGAGGGACAGAGCTCAGGCCCAGAGTTCAAGCCCCACAACCGCCAAAAAAAAAAGAAAATCAAGTGGGAATTCCAAATTCATTTCTTCTACCTACTGCTTTGTACTCATTATAAGTGTGGTTTATTTATTTTTACAGATTTACTTGATCATGACAGAATGCTGGAATAATAATGTCCATCAGCGCCCCTCCTTCAGGGACCTAGCATATCAGGTAGATCAGATACGGGACAGCATAGCTGGATGAAAGAAATGAACAATGTGCACACTGAGACCAAAGCAGAAATCCAGAACAAAGGTTTTCACATTGCTGTGGACTATTATCACTCATCATTACTATGTAAATCATGATGCTTGCCAGAAGAGATGTGAAAATAGCTGCTTAAAACTTGGAAAGTTCAGTGTTTTCTTCATGAAGCTACCTGTACATGACTGTGATGGGAGATCTTGAAAAAGAAATTTTGTAAAGTTTCATGAATTTTATCAGCCAGTATATCTCCTTCTCTGGCAAAAAAATAAATAACATTTGTCAACTCAGCTTTTTGAGAGATGAAAATTACAGTGTAAATTTTGCCTTGTTGAAGATGCACAAAAATATGTACAGTTTTTACCACAGTGCATGTATTATACTTTGGCATCTTGTGTGATTTACACAAGGGCTAGTGTTCATTAGTAATGTTTTCTAATTTTTCCACAACGGATACACAATAACTTCACCGTACCAACAAATTACTGTGCTCAGAAAACTGAGTAGCACCGTTCTTGTTTATGTTCATCCAAACTACTATCTGACGATATTTAGCAGGTGTATGATTTTTGGCTTACAGTTCCATGTATTGTAAATATTTTTCAAAGCAAAGGGAACAAAAGTCTATTTTATTTGTATAAGAAATTCCCCTAGCCCTAAAGAATATGTTTTGAAATGGAACAAGCTTACAAAGAAATAACACAATCTATTTTCTTATTTGTTTCTCTTGTATCTGTTTGTGGTGAACGTTTTTTAAATAGAAATATCTCCAAATTTTTTCTAAGACTATAATGAATAGTATTCTTTTACATTTTTGAGAATAAGAATGTTGGGAATGTTGTCATCCTTTGAGCTCTTGACTGCCAATAAGATTCTTCAGTCTTTGAGACCTGTGGTCACGCATTATTAAATGTAAGCATAAGCCATAACATAGTTTCTAAAATGTGCAAGCTCATTAAGACGAACAGTGGGCTAGGACATGAAGTCTAGAGACTATGTTTGAAGTTTTTATTACAGTTACAGAAGAGATTCCCTTTGTTAGAGTCTCATACTCAATGAGGAAATGAGCAACTTGATGAAAAGTATGCTTGTCAATTTTATTACAGGATGCCAGTAGAAAATTCATAATGTATGTCTTTTAAAAAAAGAGAAAATACATATTTTTAATAAGTATAAAGTATTATTTGTGTTGTCATCTGTTCTAGTGCTACTCCATTTAAGATATAGTACCTAAAATAAAATGTGATAGTGGTTTTTGTGTGTGTTATTTATACAAAATTTAAGATGTTTGACATTTTGATAAAAAAAATTTTTCTTATTTTATTTGCAAGTGATATATGCCATTTCAAAAAGACTTTTGCTTAAAACTTCTGATTGTTGGGAAAGGAAAGGGAAGAATCCCGTTTCCATTCTTTATCTTTAAGGAATTTTAGTAGGTTAACCAGATGCCGAAATCATCTAAAATGAGAATATATTACATTTTTTTAAATTTTGAGTAGATTCTTTGATAAAATTTAAATATAACTTTAATTTGTAAAGTCTTTTTAAGGGTCTATTTATGTAATTGTTAAGATAACTTTGAGTCTATTACTTTTCAAATTGAAAGTAGCAACCACACGTTATGCTTGATTTCAAAACTTTGTACATTATTACTTAAAAGTGAATTTTTCTCAGAGGTATGTAACATTTTGTTTTTAAAAACAAGCATGTGAATTTTGTTAAAACTTTTGAAATGTTTCATTTTCTAACTTAAAATAATTTCACAATATATTCTTAAGTTTGCAAGACCACCTTATTGTCAAATTCCAAGTTTACATGAAATTTCTTTTTCACTGAGGGTTTGTAATGTTTTAACTTTTGATTCTGAGCATACATAAAAAGAAGTTAATCTTGTACCTGTTTAACAGGTTCGCTATTAGAAAGAGGTAAGTAATAAACCAGTTAAGCTTAAGTGTTTCTTAATTTTTTGAAAATTTTCTTAGAATCCTGTAATTTTGTATATATTATATACTATGTTATTATCTTTATACAAATCCTTACTTCCATGTATACTTGCTTTAGGAAGTTTTTTTTTTTTTTCCATGCTATTTAAGTGTGCTTCCTGAAGCACTTTAATTTGCCATGGTAGAATTCTTTGTTATGTATCAAAGTTAAGTGAAATTTTTTTATTATAATTGGTAACTTCTGTTATTTAAATGTTGTCTAATCTTATAGATAGGAGGAAATGCCTTCATCCTCCTTGGAAAAATGGACTTATATGCTGGAATTATGTTAACTTCTTCATTGTAGCTTTAGTTTGTTTATACAAGGTTGAATAATAATAGGCTGTTTGTGCTAGGAAGGTGGCTCAGTGGTAGAGCGCTTGCCTTGCATGCCTGAGGCCCTGGGATCGATTCCTCAGTACCACATAAGCAAAAAGAAAAAAGCCAGAAGTGGCGCTGTGGCTCAAGTGGTAGAGCGCTAGCCTTGAGCTGAAGAACTGAGGGACAGTGCCCAGGCCCAGAGTTCAGGCCCCACGACTGGATCCCCACCAAAAAAGTAATAGGCTGTTTGATCAAAGTCTATTAAATGCATATATGGAAAATCACAATGAAATCCTTTTGGAGAATATATGCTAATAATTAAGTGAATGGTATGTAATATAGTATTTTATTATTAGCATATATTAATGAATTTCATTATAACCTTTCCATACATGATTAAATGTACTTGGGTTTTATTAACCCTCTTTTCTTACCCTTTCTTTTACCCCTTTCCTTTCTTTTCTATAGTTCCCCTTTTATTTCATGTCCCTTTTCCTCTCTCAATTGTACATATGAAAGAAAACATGTGATACTTATCTTTGTGAGACTGGTTTATTTTGCTTTATATGATCTAGTTCCAAGCATTTTTCTGTGAACAACATTAGTTTTATTTTCTGTTATGGCTAAATAAAACTGCATTGTATTTGTATACCACATTTTCTTTTATCAGTTCATTTTTTGATGTTCACCAAGGATGATTCCATAACTTTAAGTATCATGAATAGTGTGCTGATAAACTTAGGTGTGTAGGAATCGCCATAGTAATCTGACTTTGATCCTTCTGGATATATAACCAGAACTAGTTATAGCTGTATCATATGGAAGTTCCATTCTTTTTTTTTTTTTTTTTTTTTTTGAGGAATCATTGGCTCCCATAGTGGCTGACTAATTTATGTTGCCATAATAGAATACAAGTTTGGTTTTTTTTTTCTTCTTTTTCCTGCATCCTTGACCAATGTTTTTGTGTTGTTGGTAAAAGCCATTCTGACTTAGAGAGATGGAGTCTTAATATTGTTTTGCTTAGTATTTTCTTTGCCTGCCAACATTTTCCATGAATTTATTGGCTGTCATTCTTCATTTGAAAAGTATCTCTTCTAATTACTTGCTCATTTATTGAATTGTTTGGACTTTTTGTGTTTATTGAGTTTTTATATTCTGTATATTAATACTTTGAAAAGATTTTCAACCCTTCTAATTCTGATTTTTTATTCTGATACTGTTTCCTTTGCAGTGCAAAAGCCTTTTATTTTAACACTACAGTTGTCAATTATTCCTAAGCTTTTGGAGTCTTATACAGAAAGTTATTTTCTGTGCCTAAATTTTGAAATTTTTATGTTTTAAAGTTTCATTTAGATCTTTGATCCACTATGATGTTTTATTTTTAATCTAGTAAACTGCTCTTTAAATTTTTTTTTGGGTCCGATCATGGGGCCTGAACTCTGGGCCCCTCTCTCAGCTCTTCAGCTTAAGGCTAGTGCTCTACCACTTGAGCCATAGCGCCACTTCTGGCTTTTTTCTTTTTGCTTATGTGGTGCTGAGGAATCAAACCCAGGGCCTCATGCATGCAAGGCAAGTGCTCTACCACTGAGCCACCTTCCCAGCCCTAAAATTTTTTATATAATTTACATAAATTTTTTCTAGTTTCCAAGTCTAGGTAAGGCTTTCATCCATTTTGAGTTGATTTTTGCACAGAATAAGAGGTTGAGATATAGTTTCAATGTTCCATTTTTTTCTCACATGGATATTAATATCTATTTTCCAGTATTTGTTTTTGGCACATTTACCAAGGATCATATGACTAGTTGCATATGCTTACTTCTGGGAGGTCTAGTGGTCTTCTGTTTCTGTGTCTATAGAATGCTGTTTTTGTTTCTATGGCTGTGGTATAAGTTGAAATTAGGTACAATTTTGTTTACAGTGATAGTGTTAGCATCATTGTAAACAAGAATAATTTGGCTTTTAAATTTTGTATCCCTTTTATTCTGAGCTCTTGTATTATTCCTCTAAGAATTCAAGCATTATAATGAACCAGAGTAGTAAGAATGAACACTCTTGTCTAGTTACTGATTCTGGAAGAAATGCTTTCCGTTTTTCCCCTTCAGTATAATGTTGACTATGGTTTGCCATATGTTGCCTTTATTATTGAATATGTGATCTGTCTGTTCCAAGTTTCTTCAGGGCATTTATCATAAAGGGATTTTGAATTGTGTCAGAGGCCTTTCCTTTATCTATTGGAATGATCATGTAATTTTTGTCTTTTATTCTATTTGTGTAGTATATTATGCTTACTCATTTGTATGTGCTGAACCATTCTTATATTTCTGGTATTAAACCAACTTTATCATGGTATCAGCTAATTTTAGTGTGTTATTGAATTCAGGGGTTTTGTTTTTGTTTTATGTATTTATACGTTTTGAGCTGGTCCTGGGGCTTGAACTCAGGGCCTTGAACTCTCTCTGTTTTACTCACAGCTGGTACTCAAACTAATCCTCAGATCTCAGGCCACTAAGTAGCTAGTATTATAGGTACAAGTCACTGGCTTCAGTTTGCAAAGGTTTTATTGTGGATTTTTATGTTTGTGTTTATTAAAACAGTTGGTCTGTAATTTTCTTGTGTCATTTAGTTTTGCTAAATGACAGTGATAATGGTTTTGTAGAATGAATTTTGTAACATTCTTTCCCTTTGTGTTTTAAGAACTCATTTGGTGAGAGCATTGGTGTTTTTGTACTGATTAGTTCTTTTACTGATTAGTTTGATAGAACTTGTCAGTGAATCCATATTTTCTTCTTTAATAGACTCTGATGACCACTTTAATCTTACAGCTTCTTTGTTGTTGTTGTTGTTGGTTGTGGGGCCTGAACTCAGGGCCTGGGCACTGTCCCTGAACCTCTTTGTGCACAAGGCTAGTGCTCTAGCACTTGAGTCACAGTGCCACTTCCAGTTTTTGAGTGGTTAATTGGAGATAAGGGTCTCATGGGACTTTTCAGTCTGACTTCGAACGGTGATCCTCAGATCTCAACCTCCTGAGTAACTGGGCTTATAAGTATGAGTCACCAGTGCTTGGCTGTTATGGCTCTTATTGATACGTTTATATCATTTGTATCTACTTGCTTCAATTTGGGTAGGTTATATATGACTAGTAATTTGTCCATTTCTTCTAGGGTTTCCAATTTATTGGAATGGTATTAAAAAATATTCCTCAATGATTCTCTGGATTCCAGTGCTGTCTGCTGCAACATTTGGTTGTTTATCTCTAAATGAATTAATTTGGTCTTCTATTTTCTTTTGGTAGTTTGCTTACAGTTGGTTTGTCTAACTTGTTTATCTTTCCAAAGAACCAATTCTTTGTATTTATATTTTTGTTTTCATTTTAATAATTTTGTATCTGATCTTTATTATTTCTTTAAAAATTTTTTATCTTTAGGTAGTTATACGAAGGAGTTGCCATTCAATAAAGTATTTATCAAAAGATTGACAAAGTGAATCGATCAATGTCACCCTGATCATTATTATTTCTTTCTGTCTTAATATTTTTGAATTTGGCTTGTTCTTGCTTTTCTGAAACCTTAAGATACTTTATTAGATTATTTGACATTTCTCTGATTTTTTGTTTAATGTAGGCAATGATAGTTATAAACTTCTGGATTCTGGAAAGTGATGGCATTTAAATTTGATTCTGGGAAGTTTTTAACAACCCGCGCTGTATTTCTCCAATGATTCACTAACTCATTGATAACCAGTATGTGTTTGTATCTGTAGTTTCTATAATTTTATTCCATTATAATGTGATAAAATACAAAAAGTACTTCAAGTGACTTAAGACTTGTTTTATAATTTTATAAATGACTTGTTTTAAAAAGTGTGTTATATTTTGGAGAAAGTTTACAGGCTTCTAAGAAGAATGTGTACCCATAGCTGCTAGAATATTCTGTAGATGTCTCTTAGGTGCTTTTAATCTATGATGAAATTCAATTCTGAAACTTCATTAATTTTTTACTCTGGATGATCTCATAAGTTTCTGGAATAGAGTTGGCGGCCCTCCACGATTCCTTCAACTAGGAATGCCTCTTTGCTACCTTGGTTTTTCACAGTGTGGTGCTATACCAGTCCCTGGACTCTGCCTACCTAAACTTCCACCTACCAACTCTTCTAACCTCTGGCTTGGTGGGGCTGCTTGGAGCCCAGTGATCCATACCAGCAAGGAATGAAGCCAGTAAGAGATTCAAGTTCCACGTCTTGGCCACCATCACAAGACCAAATAGTCACCCTCTAACAAGCAAGTTGCCTGATTCCGCATGCCCAGGGGGACTTGGGAAGAGCCACAGACAGGCCAGTCTCGAGAGAGAAGTGCAAGAGGAAGCATAAGTCAGCTGGAACTCACTGCTTGAGCTCAGTGTGTCCCCCCCATCCTCTGGGTCTTGCGGACTATGACTGACTTTTTCACACAGTCTGAACACTCTGTGTTCAGAAACATCCACCAAACTTTGAAGATAAGGCCTATCTCTTCAATGCGAATTCCTTAAAGACTTCCAGCATCACTATCAGGGCCAGGGCTAGCCAACCATGTCAAAAAGGAGCGGCCTGAGTCAGTCCAGAGGGGCCCCCTTCCATCAACTGATATTGGTTGAAAAGCTATGCCCTGAGAATTATCCCAGCAGAAACCTGACTTGAGAGAAAACGTGTAACAATCTTCATACATAGCCAAGTCTCACCTGGAATCCTTGGGAAATGGTGGATCAGCCTAGCAAAATGT